GAGTAAACAAATTGATTAATTCTTTTTTTACATTGCCTTTTCTTAGTAGAGTAACATTGGACAAAATAAGCTTGGATACTGGCTTAATTTGAAAGACTGAGGAATTGCTGGGATTATTTCGTTCAAAACTAAACCTGTCCACCTGATGTTTTTTCTTGCATAGATTTTTGAACACTCTTAAGAGTCCGTGGAGAGACTTTATTTGGTTCTTTCCACTCACTGGCAATAAAAAGGATGCTATAGAAATGTCTTTATTCCTCCAAGAGCGGAATGTTACCAAGCCTCTGTAGTAATCACCTCGTTCTATATTCAGGTCTAGAACCAGTGAGGTTTTTCTTAGTCGTACACATGTGTCTTGCATCACACTGCTGGGTTTTTGGGGTGTGGGTTGTACTCTTTAGCCTGCGTTTCCCCGCTGGCGTCCTAGTGCGTGTGGGAAGTGTCGGATGCCTTTCAGTTCAGGTATTGTACCTGCCTTGGATTTCTAGTGTGTAGCTGTCAGGGTTTTCTTGTTATAGAAGCAGTTACCTACCCACGAGCTCGATGCACCTCCCTGCAGAGGCTCCCCGGCTTGCAGGAGGAGGTAAGAGTGGAGCACAAAACAAAAACCTCTGGTTAGAGCGAGGTGGGAGGAGGAGGAAAGGGAAGGAGTCTCTGGTATGTTGAGTGAAGTTAATGGCAGACAAGATGAAGAGCATCTTAGAAATTCTTTAATTTCTGCCAAAGAGTATCTGCTGATTTATGTAGCGGTATTAACGTCTGTTTCTGCAGTAGTTGGTCTTTGTTCAAACAGAAGAAGGTGCCTTTTTAACCTGAGGGCACAAGTAAGGAAGCATGTAAAAATTGGACATTTCTTCCTAAAAACTTCAGTGAGTTCCAGAACTCACTTTCTAAACTTAATCTCTCAGTCAGAAAATGCAGGACGTTTCAGGAGCTGTTTTCTCAGCCCATTTGGCTGTGTGTCACCTGCTGATGGGTGGCTTGTGCAAGAACGAGATGGGCAGTCTGTCTGCAGTAGGTACACATCAGGTGGGATTGGAAGAAATCTTGTGGCTGTGTTGGATATTACACTGTTGTCGCCCCTCTGTCTTTTAAAGCCTGTAGCCTTGTTTGTTAACACCATTTCAAACTTTTAGAACCTTTCCTTCCCTACTAAGGTTATTTAGGTGTATTCCTTCTTGACTGTAAGCTTGTAAGGCGTGCTGAGTTTTTTCGTTGATTTTTTCTGGCCCCGAGTTGATGTAAACTCTGCTGAAAGAGTTTTCACAGGTTCTTTGGAGGTTTTCTGAGTGCCCTTAGGCTGGACTTGACGATCTCCGAGGTCTTTTCCAGCCTCAAAAATTCTATGATTCCATGACTTTACATGTTCCTTGTCTGGTTCCTACTCTCAAGCTGCAGCATGGTTCAGTTTTCCACGTGCTGTTTCCCGTGTGTTTTGGAACAGTCAAATGAGAAAAGCAGAATTACTCCTCATTGGACTTACATTCGTGGTGCTGGCCTTCTGGAAAAATGCGTGGGGATGGATCTGAAAGGCACAAAACGCCCTCCCTCCCGTTCCTAGAAGAGTGTGTGACACTCAGTTCCACGCACTGGACATACTTGGCTCCAGGTTAGTTTCAGCTCTTGTTTCGTTATCTTAAAAATGCATCCAGTGTAGTAGTTAACTACTTGCAGAGATCTTTCTGGCGGAAAATTCCTTGTCGTGTGAAGAACTGAAAAGACTCAGTCACAAATTGGTAACTACTGGATAGTGACTGAGAAGGGCATGAATTTAGTAAGGTCCAAGTGAAACTTACTTTAATTTAATCTCTACAGGTAATGTGCTTAAAGGAAATAATGCAGCCTTCCGAATCCGATGGGTGGGGGATGAAGTGTTAAAAAGCAGAATCTGGATAAAAATGGTAAAACTAAGAACGCATTTTAGACTGGGAGAAACTAAGACTGAAATCAGATGTGAACAGTGGAGCGTTAAGTCTTCAGATAGAGAGCTTGAGGGGACTAAGTTCACAGTATAAGAAGAAAATAATAATAATACAGTGTATTTTGTTGTGTTTGGGGTTTTTTTGTCTTTTTATCCTCAGTCTTCATGAAACTGTACTGGGGGTTTCTTTGTGCCATTTGAAGTTGAGGATTTTTGCACTTCATGGTAATCATCTTTGCCGTCTTGTGCTTCTAACGGGAGCAGAGCTCATGCCGTCTCAGGAGGTAGTTAGGAGAATCTGCCACGTGTGACAGGCCCTTGGGCAGTGACGAAGCGATAGCAGGGGAGCGCTGGCCATGACTCCTCGAGGTTCCCCACGGCCAGGGCTGTTGCTGGAACAGCAAGGTATGGCTGAGGAGAGCTTTGAGTGAAGTGGATGCGGCGTTTGATGACAGTTTTTCCTGTGCACCGTAGCTTTTTCTGGATGGAAGGAGGGAGGTCTGCAGCTGTTACCAACATCTACGTTTGTACTAAGTTGCTGAAGAACGCTTTTACTCCCCTTGAGCACTTTCTCCTGCACCCCCTCCTCCTTAACCCGCTGCGATCCTGGGTCAAAACTGAAGCGTACCATAGCAGCAGAATCCTCGAGCGGAACAGCAAAGCTGCCTAATACGTGCTTTTCCCACACGTAGAAAAGGAGATATGTAAATGAAAGGACCTGGCTGAACAATGTGACATGTTTCCACGCACGATAGCAGCCACCTATTTCCAGATGGAAAATTCACCATCTGCTGCCTCTTTGTGAGTAGCTTGTGCCTTGCATGGACCTTGTCATGTGTCCTTGTCAGGGCCCAAAGCTCCCGTTCCTGTACTCTGAGCTTACTGCAGGGATGTTTCCTGCTCAGAGCAGGCAGAGCTGGGCCTGGTGGGGCTGGTGTGACACCATCTTCCGTGGAGGAGAGGAAGATCGAGGAGCTCCTGTTTGCAGTCCAGAGGGGACAGCTTGAAGGGCAGTGCTGCTCCTTTCCACAAGGTTCGTGACTTGGTTTACGGATGTCAGCTGTTGGTGATGTCGTCGTGTCTGTGTTCTGTTTGCTGTGATGAAGGCTGTGATACCTAGGGTTGGAGTTTTGAACGCACTGCTTTTGATTTGAGCTGGTGGATGGGAATATTTCCTTGAGCAGCTCCTGACTGGTGGAACCTGCAAGCCTGTTATTCTTGTAGCAGGTAAAAAAAGGTTGCAATTTAGGTAACAGTTTGTTACAGGTTTGTAAGAGCAGGTAAACGGGTGGTCACAGAAACAATCACTTAAAATTGTGTAGTTGGTAAGACGTCTTACAGTTGAATCCCTCTTGTAGCACAGAATGGCCCAGGCTGGAAGGGACCTCAGAGATCATTTTAATCCAGGCTCCCTGTCACCAGGGACGCCACCTCTCAACTAGATCAGGCAACACACGGGGCGTTCTGTTGCAAGGCTGCTTGCATTCTCTCTTTTAATATATCTCATAATAGCTGCTGTAGTGCCAGGGCACCAGCTGTGATTCAGAGTGTCATTCGGTTTTGTGTGCTCGGAACGCTGTGAGGATAGTGGATTGTCAGCGTTTACACATTGGCAGGGCTCATGCTGGGAATACAGAAGCGTTCAGACGCAGGGCACGCAGGTGGAGGTGGCTGCCTGAATGGATGGCGCCTTGTCTGTGGCAGGAAGCGACAGTTGGAGCGCACGTGTGTGGTCAGTCGCAGCCGTGGGGCAGCTCTGTCCTCACGAACAGCTGGGCAGGTGTTCTCTTTCATACCCTCCCATCCAAACCCTTGTTTTTCTCATGAGACTTGCGGTGCGCTGGAGCTGGGACTCCGTCGTACCTCTGTGCAGAAGCTGTAGTTGGTGTAAATCCAGAGATCTGGTTCAATGTTGCTTCTGGCTACGAGTACGTTAAACTTGAAGATGTTACAGCGGCAAAGGCTGAAGCTGGTGATGCTGACCTGCAGAATCTGAAATGGTGCAGAGCCTCTGAAGAGGGAAGGGTAGATTCTTGTGATGGATTTGTTCAGAAATGCTGAACTCGAGCCTCAGTGAGATACTTGATTGAGGGTCCAGGCCAGAGGGTCTGGGACTTTATTCTGAATTTTGTGATACCTTGGTCCTGTTCTTCAGAGCGTTCTGCACCCTTTATTCTCCAATGGGATTGCCATGTGTGGGGCAGGTTCTGTAGTTCAGTCACTTCTGTTGCACTTTTTTGGGTAGCCCTGAACGTTGGATGGATCTTCCTTTATAACTGATAGCACATCCCAAGCGATCGTAACATTTTTCACTAGTATAAATTTGTGCTCAGTACGTCAGCCAGTATTCACACAAAAATTGATCTATGGATGCTTTTCAAAGCAAAAAAACCCAGTCTCATAACCTTAAGAAAAAAACGAAAAGGTGATGCCACTCCTTAATTGAGCGCTTAGTACCCTTACAGGAGATTGAGTAGCGCAATTTTGGAAAATAGTCTTCACTATTTGTTATCAGACTGCTTGAAGGTAATTACACAAAGTTGCGGAGTGCACCCTCGTGAAATACTGACAACGGGTGACAGCTGAATGAAATTCAAGATGCGTACTTCTAAAAATGAAGTAGTTCAACAGTCTTGTGGTTCATATTGCTTGAATGAAGTGGTTCTGCCAGGAGGTGAAAGCCAACTCTCTGAAAAAGTGCTGTTATTTCTTGAAAATAATTTTGCATATTGTATTGCGATCTTAAAAGCTTGCACTTAAGTGTGTATTCTATTTTTAAAGATGTGTGCCATCTGGAGAGGCTTCCTGAGTATACCACTTGAGCTGTTTTCTGCTCAATGTTTATTGTTTTACTGCTATTTGTGTCTTCTTACCAGCTGGTAATTAAAATCTGTGCTAATAGTTATTTCTGTCGCTAATGGTATAGAGTAATTTGTATGTTGCACGAATGCATAATGAGCTGTAAAATACAGCATATATTATATCGGCTGTTAACACTTCAAATATCTCCTCAGTGACACGGAATTTAATTGCACCTAGAAGTAAGTATTTTTATTTCAGAAAACAAACCTTTTCTGAAATGAAGGGGCAAATAATGTTTAACCTTGCCTCTACTTTACCAGGTAATAAGTGTCTTCTGATAGGCATGATGTAAAACTGTTGAACAACAGAGAGTATATGTAGACTGTTAGGCCTGGGAGAAAGTAATCCCCAGTTTGTGATACCAAGAAATCACAGCGCCTTATGAAAGTTGCAGGTTTTGTTTGTCAGTAGTTCTGGCTTTTTGATTTGCTTGTGTATTTATTTTATTTTTTTTAGTACTTTACGTTAACACTTTCACCTTCCCCTGTTTGAAAGCGTGCCTGTCGCCCGTATTGTAACACTCAGTAGAGTTAAGATTGTTTTTCAAGCGGGTGATAAATAGGAACAAATAAAAGCTTACTGAACCTATTGTTAGTTTAAAATATCCTTCATGGAATGCTGATTTCAAAGTACTTCTGGATTGTCAAGGTGTCCTGGTTCTCTGGGGAGTTCGGTGCTTGGTGGCAGTGTCAGTCTGTTTCTGATTTAACTTGTGATCGGGGTGAGGAGGAAAAGCAAAGGAGAGCTCCGCTGGCAGGCACACGGGTTGGCCAAGGTGAGCAGCAGCGTGTGTGTGCAGGTACACAGTCCTTTAGGTTTTCTTTCTTACAGGAGTTCTCAAAACTGGTCAGATTCTATCAACAGTCCAGCTATTAAGTATCTTTTTTTCCGGAACTGTAATCTCTGCAGTTCTTTGTACTCATGTATATATTAATTCAGAAAGGTCATTTTCAGATCGCTTCCAAAACACATTTCCATAACTCTTGCAAGACGTATATGAACTCTTAGAACGAAAAGGCGACTGGTCTGAAGTGGTAAAAGGTTTAAAATGTCTGAAACAGGGGCTGTGTGGGAGCTGGTGTTTCCCTGATTGTGGAAATTAAAGGTTGAACTAACTACAGTCAGTTGATGGATGTAGAGCTAATAAATTATTGCAGTGTGTCGCCCCAGAACATGTCGTAGCTTTGTGAGCATGATGAGAACAATGCTGCGCTTTATGTTTGGATGGTGCTTTCCACAGCTTTTTGTTTTCTTTTTCTTTAAGCCTAATACTTGATCATTCTGAGTAGAACAAGTGTTCTCACAAAAGCTGTGTGAGTAAACTGAGGTAAGGCAAATGAAGGTGACGGTCTAACCTTTGCTTGAGGCTGCAACGTTCCTCGGTCACGATCTGCCGTCTGTGGTTTGTCACGCCTCTGCGCTTGCTTTGCGTGGTGGGTACACACTGCGCTGAGATTTGGCTGTTTAGGGGCTGGACAGTGATCTGGTTGTGCTGTCACTCCAGTTCAGTGCAGACTTTTCGTACATCGGTGTCTGTGTCAGCTGAGAAACAGGTTACAGTTCTCAGTTTGTGGTTTTTTGGAAAATCCAGCCTGAACTGAAGCCCGAAAAGGCTTAAAATAGATCAGTCTTCCAAGTCAGATCAGTCACCTGGGTCTGTTTGTTTAATATAAGCAAGTCGGGGAGGAGAGAAAAGCTGATGAAGTGTAGAGGCCCTCTGCCCCTTGGGGTGACTTGCTGGAAGAAGCAGGTTGCCTGAAAAGCTGTGCTGTTCTAAAAATAATTGTTTTCTGGAAATAAGTAAACTGGGAGGTTGAACAGGTAGAGATGAGATAACTTTGAAACAGGGGTTTGGGGTTACGTCATTTTGACTGAGAGCTTTTGTTTGTTTCATAGGTCTCTTCTGTGTGGATAAAAAAAGACCATAAATTCTAAGGACACCTATTGTTACTCTTTTTCAGGTGGTATCATGGAAAACTCGATAGAACGATCGCAGAAGAACGTCTTCGACAAGCAGGAAAACCTGGGAGTTACCTTATTCGAGAGAGTGATCGGAGACCAGGTTCATTTGTGCTTTCATTCCTTAGTAAAACAAATGTCAATCATTTTAGGTGAGGATTAAATGTTTTATTTTTAAATACTGTAATCTGTTTGCTTTTGGGTTTGGAACAAAGTAGAAAATGAACGGTTGACAATCATGGTATTATAATTTAGTATTTTTGATACTTTATTCTTGCACGGTACAGCTTTTTATTTGTGTTAATTTAAAACCTGCTACTTAAAAATTGCTTTATGGGCTAAAGAACAGAAATGTGAGGAAACCAGCAACGTGTCGGTGGAGGAGCCTGTCTAAAAGAGTTTTCCGTAGACTGAAAGCAACGTGAGGTTTCATTGATCAGTCAGGCAGATTGTTGCGAGTCTGCTCTGTGGCAGTGACTGTAGCTCACAGGACCTACTTGGAGTGGTAGCACATCTGGTTATTTCCTTAATTTTGAGGGAGCCTCCCCCCAAAAAACCAAGAATAGACAAAAGAGGTGATGTATTAATAATCTGAGGGTTTGCTGGAAACAGCTCTCAGTGTGTGTTAGAAGTACTTGTTCTCAGTACAAGTAGCTCTTTAGTAGAAGTTGTGACTGGGATTATTTTACCATCGGCAAACTGCACGTCAGTACGTTCATGTATTCTGCAGCGTAAATGAGATGTATTCTGAGAAGAACATGGAGGTTACTCAGCAAGCAGAGTGCTGCAGGGCGATGTTCATCTGTACGGAAGAGAAAAGCAAATGTTCCCTGAGCAGTAAAAAAATCTGTGTCAGGTGTCTTGACAGCAACAAACAAAAGTAAAGCAAAGCCTTCAGCCTCCGGAGTGGGAATCACCTGGAGTATCGACCCGTGAGCCACTGTGCGCGTGGTTTGCCGTGTGATGGAGTGTGGCTCAGGGGTTTTGGTCTGCCACTGGTGCTGGGGTTAATTCTCTTGCGTGCAGACAGCACAGCACACAAAGGGTATCTCGGGCTCGCCCCTTGCCGTCAGAGCCGTCAGTTTTGGTTTCTCAGCTGCACTGGTGGTGGTTTGGGAACTGGTCGCTGTGCAGCAGTAGCAGGGAAATAAACTGTGCTACGGCTTGCTCTCTAGTGCTGTGGGAGTGCTGGGTTATTCCCCATTGACTTCTTTGAGAGCCAGTGTCAGGCACGTGACAGTCTGTTCGTGCTGGCCATGAAAGCTTTTCCCGCGTCGTGGGTAGAAAACAGTCCAGTGACTCCTGCTTCCCCCGGGAAAGGGCCCGGACCGTATTTTCAGGCCTTAAAGACTCTTTCCTTCTGAGATCCCTCGAACACTCGGAGGTAAATATACAAAGGGAGTCAACTTGTGAATTAAAAGCGTTCCTCAGAGGCTGGAGGTGTTTCCAGTTTCATTCTTTGGCTGCCGAGTGTGCGTTTTGCTTGTTACCAGACAGGCGAGCACTGCCAGCCCAGGGAATGCCGGCCTTGGCGTCACCTCGAGCAGGTAGGGGAAGGGATCTCCTGTGTCCCTCACAGCAAAGTGCTCTTTGCGCCAAGGCTTGGTCTTCGCCGATTGCTGCCCTGCCAGGAATGGGTGGAATTTCCATTGCTAACAAATGTCCCTCGTATTTCATTCCCTAAAAGTGCTATTTTTGACATTAGACGCTTCTTAGGTTGCTGTGCAACTGAAATGCCAACATATTAGAGGAAGGTTTCTTAAACTCTTCAGTTGATGCCTCTTGAAAGTTGTGTACAGGCATATGTGTTCGTGCGCACGTGATGGGTTTGCAGCGTATGAATCTGGCAGCATTTTTCACTGAACTGTTACCTTTTTTTTTTGTGAGAGTGATCCAAAATATCTTGGAAGAAAATATTTATCTTTTAATCTTGTCCTTCAGAATTTTTTTTGACTGCAGAAGTCTTTCTGTGTGTGCTGGCTCAGTGTTCTGAAGAAAGGATTCATTTAAGCCTGATGAAATAATAATCTGAAATACTACATTTCATTTAGAACCTAATCTCTGTATCATTTACCAAGGAATCTTAAAGAAAATATGACAAAGTGTCTGTAGCCTGTGTCCTTAAAGTTGTGTTGTGTAGATTTCACCTCTGAAGATTCATCTCTGTGAGCATGTTGTGTCACTGTTGGGGAGAAATAATTTACTTCAAAGCAGAAGATTTTGGGCAGGCGTGTGTTAAAATACTGATCTGTTAAAGAAGGAGAGTGAAAATGGAAGAAGCCCAAGTGAGCAGTGCACTCCTTTGGGCTGAAGGATAAGCTTCTTGGCAACCGAGTCTTTGGGGTTGTTAATCTCCTTTTGGCTTTTGTTCGCAAGCTTTGTGAAGGCATCAAAAATGAAGTAGGAACACCAGGAAGATTCAAACGTGTTTATTCTTGCTGCTGTAATTTGTTTTGAAATTTCTGAAAGATAATTTGTATCTCTTCTGAAAACTGGAGGGACAATTAACACAAGCTTTTAGATTTTTTAATTACTTTTTTTTAGCAGCAAAATTTGCTTAGCTGGGTAATAATTTGTTTCTCAATTTCTTAAATTTTTGTAAGAATGCGAGTGAGCTGCTACTGAAGATTCCTGCCTGATCTCTGCTGCTGAAGAAAGTCCAGTCTTCTTGCAGCCACCGATTCACTTCATGTGATAATTTCTGTGGCTTGTCTGGTCAAAAACATTTAAGTTTTTTCACAGCTCCCTGCTGTCGGAAAAACACAGCCCTCAAAGGGTAAAGGTGTGGGAGTTTTTAAGAATTGTGTTACACTTCTGCAATGGTTTTGTAAGCATTTTTCCCCCTGTGAGTTAGCAAATGTTTAAATTGATTATAGGGATATACTTCGATTGTTCTGACGTCATTTCTTAACTTTTAATATGGATGTTGAACCAGCATTAAGTATCTAGTTTTTGAAGGTGCTTGTTTTCTCTATTGTGTAATCAAGTGCAGTTATTTGTTGTTAAATGCTTTTTTTTAAATTTATATAAGCCTGTCATAAAATCTATATAGCCTGGATGATACAAATAATAGTGCTTTTGTTTTTACCAGTGTATTATTTCAGATTTCAAGGACAGTCAGAATTATATTTTTCTATTTAATTTGATTCCAACAAATGTTTTTTGTTAATCAGCACTTCCTTTAGAGTCTTAAAATAGTGATGCATCGTGCGATGTGTATCTGCTGTTTTTGATGAAATATTCAGTAGCTACGACTTACTTACATGTTTATAGGAGGCTTTTGATAGTGCATTTCACTGGGTGTAGGGATTGCTTTAAAAATTAAGCATTATCCTTGTTTCCTTTTTCCTAAAAAGATTGGTAGCAAAAAATTTTCTTGCATCAACCTTTCTTTTTTGCTGGCAGGATTATTGCCATGTGTGGAGACTATTACATCGGTGGACGTCGTTTCGCTTCACTCTCCGACCTCATTGGGTATTACAGCCATGTGTCCTGTTTGCTGAAAGGGGAAAAGCTCTTGTTTCCAGTAGCACCTCCAGAGGCAAGTGGTAAAATTCTTCTAGTAAAATTTTAGCTGCTGTTTAGTTAAATGTGAGTAACTTTAATCACCATCCATAGTTTTCTTTGGGGAAAAAAAGTATTGTGCAAAGTTTCTGGTGGTTCTGCAGAGGCTCAGTACATGTTGATGTATCAGGAAGATAAAAATGAGTTCTTACTGGTTAAAAGTAACAATTTAAAAAAACCAAAATTGTTACTTAATGGAAGTGTGTGATGAGAAACCTAGATGTCAGATGTTGCAGTTATTTCCAAGCGGATTCATAGAATTTTAAGTAAATAAACAAGGAAATGCGCAGTTCTGGGCTACTGCAGTACAACCTCTGCTGGTTTGTGTGTGAGGTTTTGAGTGTCCAACAAGGGTTTCAAAATATGCATCCTGGAAATAACCAAGGCTTGGGAAAATGGATCTTCTCTCATATGCCCATCCTTAAAACAATGTAAGCAAATAAAATGAGACAAAATGCCGCATAATGCCCTTCCCTCTCCCCTCCGAAAAAAACAACCCCAAAAGGTTAAACGAAGATATTTCCGAATGTCAAACTTATGGAAATTTCCATCCTAAGTGGAAGAAAGTTTATAAGTATACTTTCATGGAAATTAGCTTACTGGTAGTTTGTTTTGAAGATGATAAACGTATGTTACCTGTCACGCTGGATGACAAACAAGGTGAGAGCTGTGGAAGCTAACTATAGATTGTGCTTTTCAGGCTCTCGGTGGTCTTGAGCTTTTGAAAATTTAGAACTGGTGAAGGGAACATAAGTGGCTGCTACAAGTCCTTTCCCTCAGAATACCTTAACACTGGGGAGAAAGATTCTACATGAAAAAGAGTGAAAAATACTATCTTTGCTCTTGTTTCTTAAATTTTAGCCTGTGGAGGACAGAAGGAGAGTTCGAGCAATTCTGCCTTACACCAAAGTGCCAGAAACTGATGAAATAAGGTATGCTTTAACACCAGTGAAATTCTCAAGAGTATTTATAAATAGTAATTATTCAGGTATGTGTACGTATGCAAATACTGTCCAGTTGCATGTTAAGCTTTATGCACTTAGATTAAAAGATGATGCCTCTCTGTTTGTTTGTTTTTTGTTGGAACTAGTCCAGCAGGAAAGGATGCTGGGCTGAGCATGAGCCAGCAGGGTGCCCAGGTGGCCAAGAAGGCCAGTGGCATCCTGGCCCAGATCAAAACCAGGGTGTCCAGCAGGAGTGGGGAAGGGACTGTCCCCTTGTACGTGGCCCCAGTGAGGGCACAGCTTGAGCCCTGTGTGCAGTTTGGGGCCCTTTGTGACAAGAAAGACGTGGAGGTGCTGGAGCAGGCCCAGAGAAGGGCAGCGGGGCTGGTGAGGGGTCTGCAGGACACATCTGATGGGGAGCAGGTGAGGGGGCTGGGGCTGTGCAGCTGGAGAAAGGGAGACACGGGGGGACCTCATCGCTCTGCACCTGCCAGACGGGAGGCTGTAGTGAGGTGGGAGTCGGTCCCTTCTCCCGTGTAACAAGCAGTAGCACAAAAAGAAATGACCTCAAGCTGCACCAATGAGGGTTGAGATTGGATATTAGGAAAAATTTCTTTGTGGAAAAGGCTGTCAGGCATTGGAACAGGTTGCTCAGGGCAGTGGTGGAGCCACCATCCCTGGAGGTGCTCAAAAAAACCACGTAGACGCAGCACCTGGGGGCATGGTTTGGTGGCCGTGGTGGTGCTGCGTTGACATTTGGACTTGGTGGGCTTTCTGCAAGAGGATAAATTTGTGTATGAAGGAATTCTATGGAGAAAGGCCTCTTGTCTAGGATTTCTTCCCAAACTGCCACAGAACTAATTAAATAGCAGATAAATAGTTTAAGCCAAACCAGTTCTGGCCACTAGAAGGAGAATGTGAACATTGACTACTCATACATGGCAATGAAGTATTTCATGCCTTCTTTGAAATAAGAAAGAAGGAGCAATATTAAAAAAGCTTTGCCTTCAGTGTTCTAGTATTCCTTTTCTTGCCTGTTGACGTGGTGACTGTTTTTTCAAAGTTTTCTTTACTTCTCTCTCCATAAGATAGAGCAAGAATGGTTTTCCCTTCCCTTCTCATCCATCCCTCCTTCTGGAAAGAGTCTATTTAAAATGTGCAGTCTCCCATTTTGTAAAAAAAATAAAATACTGAATCGCAGGCCTGTATCTCATGTTCTCCTACTTTTCCGTTAACACGTGTATGCTTCTCTTCTAACACGGGTACCTCAGTAACTTCTTTAGGGATTGTCTGTACTTCTCCACCTTTCTTGCATTTGCATGAGATGCGGTGTGGAAAGGAAACAAACCCACCAGTCCCGGGTCCAGCAGAAGAGTCGACGCTGTTTGCCTGGGGGTGATATGGCTTCCTTGAGATGCCAGAGCCATTTCTTTTCTTTTTCACATGGAAAAGTAGGAGGATTTCTAAGAGATCTGCAGTGCTTTCTAATCTCTCTAATGAGACAGTCTTGGTTTCGTAAGATGATTTAACACAACCGATTGAGTTGGGAATTGTCTTGGTTTCAGGAATATTTGCCCTGTATCTGAAGCAGGTTGGTTGGGAGCTTTATATCCTTCATCCCAAGGTTCACAGTCCAGTCCTATCCGACCTCTTTAAAGAATTCCGTGGTGTTATTTGTCTTTACAATTAATTAGTGGATGACAAGAGTGTGGTAAGACAGGGAAGGGACTCTAATCGCCTATTGCAGGTAAAGCTTTCTAGTACATGTGAGAATGAAAAGATAGACCGAGTCCATGAAGTGCCCTATTGCACTTATCAATGAGGAAAAACTATTTTATTACTTTGCTGTAACTCAAACTATAGAAAATTGTAGCCTTTTGCCCTCTTTTAGGTTACAGCAAAAATTTAAAGTTCTGTGCTTGAATTTTGAGACTCACGTGTCTAAGATAATTCTATTTTTGGCATAGCTGGGACCAAAGTTCTTGCTTTGTTCTATGTCAAATGACTATGCTTTTGTAGTTTTTACGCGTTTCAGAGAACCTTCCCTTGAAACTTTAATGTCATAGTTAAGATTCAGAAAGTTTGAAGTATTACAGCGTTAATTTCAGCCAGTCTTTTGGGCAGTTAATGTATAGTTCTTTGTAACAGGGTTGATGGAGGGTGCTCTTGCTCTCTGTCGCTCATTCCTAGGTTTCAGGTTCAGTGGCAGCCAAATTTATCCTGTGTTTTCAGTAGTCACTTGTTGGGTTTTGTTCTTCAGTTCTTACTGTTCACTTTGTTCTCGAGTTAATGCCTTTGCTGTTGGCCTACTTCACATGAGAGAAATGCCATGGAAATTTGGTGTGTGGTTTTGCACTGAAATAGCAGCTCATGAGCTTCAGTGCTGTTACCATTTCCCGATGCATCGTCAGTCTTGGCTGAGGAGTCTCACTGTGCTACAGCGAAAGGTTTTTGTATGACCTGATTTTGAGATAACACCTGAGAAATCACTTATGTTAACTCTGTTACACATATTAATGCTTCTTATTTATGCTTGTGGTTAATAGCATGGCTTCTCTGGCTGCTGTTCTGCACTCTCTTTGTAGCCCTTGTCTTCATATAAAACACAAAGAACAGATAATCCACAGGCTTTTCTTATACAAGACTAGTTTTTGATGAAAGAGTAATATTTTCTTAAAGACTATTAAGGGTGTGTCTGGTTATTTTACTTGTGTTTAGTATTTGATCCCTCTCGATAAAAGAAAACTATTACTGTCTTTTAATAATGTTGTGGTGTTATTCATGTTTTATACATCCTGAGCGCATTCCAGAGTCGGCAGAACTGGGGTTATGTATGAGATACTAAAGTATAAATAGTAATACAGAGCAGCCACTTAACTGTGGGAAACAATACACGGTGTGATTGAGCTATCAAGTCATGCATGTTTCACAAACAGCTTTTCTCAGATATTTTGTGAAGATTATACTCAGGATTTCGTTGTTTTCGTTGAGCTTTATATTATGATTACATGTCTGATTCAAATCTTTCTGTAACCGTCTTCAGTTTCCTTAAAGGAGACATGTTTATTGTCCACAACGAGCTGGAGGATGGGTGGATGTGGGTTACAAACCTACGGACAGATGAGCAAGGTCTTATTGTAGAAGACCTTGTGGAAGAAGTGGTGAGTGATTTTTATGTTCAGATTTCTTCAATGTTTTAAAATTTTTTTTTGTAAAATAATGTTGGAATAAACGAGAACTAGTGGCATTAGTTGCCTGTTTTCTAGTTATATACTTTTCCAATCCTTGCTTTAAAATAGTATAACAAACCACTAAGCCTAGTTCACTATCAGAAAAATGCTTGTTCACGTGTTGTCCAGAGGAGCACAGATGAACATTGCGGTAAATTCACCCGGCAGTTTCCTAAGCTCAGCTCTCCTGGTGGTCTGCTACTCGTCTAATTACATTTCTCTTTTATGTTTGCCATGAAACAGTCACAAACCGTACAGAATATAATTTTGCATTGTGTTAGGTCTTTCTCTTTTTCAAGGATAAAGTGTGGGTTGAAAATGTGTTAGTGAGTTAACTGTGCCTGCAAGGGCTTGCGTGGGCTCAGGAAGTGTAAATACAACCTGCAGATAACTCAGTCGCTGTAGGGGAACAGAGGGTTCAGTATGCTTCAGAAGGGAACAAACAAACAGAACAAGGTTTTTGGGGTTTTTTTTGCAAGCTCAGCATTGCTTTGGAGTCAAATATTATCAAATATTTTTGATAATATTTCCCTGCCCAGTCCCTGTGTTTTGCTGCTAGCCCTGTCTGCAGATGCTTCTCACAAATACGTGTCGGGATGCAAGTGGCTGGAGCGGCAGGACCAGGGTATCGAGCTATGGACTGATAGATCAGCGGTTCGGTCAGCCCTAGGAGAGCTGTTTGGAAAGTTGCAGCCTGTAAAGAGCTTGAAACACTACAGAAGCAGTCCTCTGGAGTCACATATTTTGGCTGAATTTCCACTTAGTAAATGAAGAGGAAACTTCTTTTCATAGAACTGCAATAACCACTTTAGCTGAAAAATGTCTCAGACTTCGTAATGTTTTTTTCCTACAGAAGGTCATAACCTGTGAAGTTTATTTTTTCTGAACAGAGCTGTACTGTTGTCATGCACTTAATATATTAATTTTCTCATTAGGGAAGAGAAGAAGATCCCCATGAAGGCAAAATGTAAGGATTTTTGTTTTGTTATTAAAAGCAATTGTAACTGTTTGTAAACTGTAGCTATGAGATTTCCCAGCTTTTGGGAAGTTTAAAGAGACTGTTTTTTTCATCTCAAGACTTTTTTCTGTGTGAGCTGCTGAGGGTGTGTGGATAATTAACATGAAAGAGTCCTGAGATAGCTATGCCTATTGCTGATGGGTTTTGCAACGTTGAGATCCTAGATGAGTCCCTGTTTGATCACTTTCAGCCAAAATATGCACAGTAGAATATTTATGAATGTGATGTTTTTTCAGAACTGAACAACTCAAAATGCTGGAGAGAGAGCAGAGTACTATGAGAGAAATTGTAGTGTGATAGTTAGAGCTGCATGTAATAACACCTAAATGTTAAAGAGAAAGCTTGAGAGCTATAGGAGTTCTCTTTGCTTAAATAATTTAATTTCTTAAAGACGGAATCAACAGGTTTATTAATCAACAATGTATTAATATGCCAAGCTGTCAGTAGGTTATTTTCAGAAGCAAAGATGAGTGGCCAGAGAGTTCTGAAATTATTTCTGGCGGCTTATTTCATCTGTCCTCCCATTTGCTCGTCATGTTTGCATCTGCTGCTTTTTTCCTGCTCCCCAGCTCGCAGTCTCCATGATGCTGGAGGAGACCTTTCTCAGTGTCTTGACAGGAGAAAGAAAGTCACTGGAATATTTGTGTTTGTTTACTGTTTGCTGGAGTTCCAGCAGCCAGTCTGATGGTAGGAAAGCTGTCAAGTGTAGGACGTATTTGTTGACTTTGCAGAGCAGCTGGTAGCAGGTGCCTGAGCTTTGGTGCTCTCTGTCTGCTGGGTTTTGTGCCCCCCGCGGGGGTCCTGGCGAGGCAGCGGCCAGAATTTTCCTCTACAGGTGGTGTGGAGAGGAGATTGGGACTGGAGCTCCTGTTGGCTGTGTCTCTGGCTCCCCTTTAAGGGCAGAACAGGCTGCTGAGTCGCAGTGTGTCCGCTGAGCAGACAGAGAGCAGCTGGTGAACCGTTCTCAGGACACAGCTTGGGGAAGGCGCGAGGTGTGAGACCCAGGGGTGGTGTTCAGCGCTCTGAGAAAGCTGGGTTTTACTTCCCCAGCTTCTCAGCTGGAGTTTTTCTGTACCGCGTCTAACTCCTTGTTTGAGCTCCGGGTTTCGTTACTCAAGTACATTGCTGTGTGGTGCTGACCTGGGGCAGTGCCCGTCAAACCGCCCAGCGCCGAGGCAACGTGTTTTCCTCTCGGCACAGCTGGATTTCAGTGTCGGCTCCAAGTGCTGGACGTTTATACTGAAACGAGTTTGTTTATGTGCCCATCAAGGTTAGTTTTTTCATGCCGTTGGTAGAACAGAGCCATGAAGTACCTTAATCACTGATTATGTCATCTATATGTGTCAGGTGCTTTTTAAATAAAGGTCAGTTCGTAGATGCCAGAGCCTTGGATGTCACCACGGCCAAAAAAGAGAGCTGGTAGTCTTGCTTTCTAATTTTTCTCTTCATCTTTGTTAAGATGGTTCCATGGGAAGATCTCCAAACAAGAGGCTTACAATTTGCTGATGACAGGTACTTGTATTTCTGATTGAAACATGGTGGCGGTGAAGTGGCACAAAGCGATGCTACTTGTGTTAAATCATGGCAAAACCTCATTTGGTATCTGTACGTATGTGGGTGCCTTCGTCTGACCAGCCCCTGAGGTTTTTACCCCAATAGAACACTACATGGGAAGAAAACTGTTGTGGCTTTGAGTATTGAGTATATTCTTAAGCACAATTAATTTACTGATTTATTTTTAAAAAAAATTTATATAAACGTAGCAAATTATTTTATTAATTGTTGTCTTCCTCAAAAAGCTGCGAAAAATATACTTTTGTATACCCAAAGGAAAATAAATCACAAACTTTTTTAGCACTTTCATAGAGCAAATATTTGTTTAAATGAAAACATCATGATTTTTGACCTGTATTGTTAAGTAGCATATTTAACTAATAGAAGAGAAATTTTTAATTGTTGAAAATGAGTGGTCAAACTGGTTTTTGTATATCCTTGTAAAGAGGTGGCAAAGACGTGTCTAGGCTGCTAGCTATACCTAAAACATTTTGCGTTAATTTTGGCAGTTTAGTACTAGTTCACCTAGTTAGAGATCACTGTTGTGATTTACCTTAGAGACTTGGTATTTCCTCAAGTGTGTGATTCTTGCTCGTTTATGTGGAAATAGATTTGACAAGGGCTCATAAATAACGCTAAGAAAAGTAATACTATTACGATATCTTTTCAGTTGGCCAGGTGTGCGGTTTTCTTGTGAGGCCTTCAGATAATACACCTGGTGATTATTCACTTTATTTTCGGACCAGTGAAAATATCCAGCGGTTTAAAATATGTCCAACATCAAACAATCAGTTCATGATGGGAGGCAGATACTATAACAGGTAAGTTTTAGTGGAGAAAGTAACTGCGCGTGTTTTATGTTTGTGTAGAGAATTTGTATAACTTGCTCCTGGTGATTATTTACTGCTGTGACTCTAAGACTCTATAGTTTTCTTAACAGCACACTGACCATTGTGCCTAACTTGGTTAGTAGTTTCTTTGAGCAAGTTCTTAAAGCTTGCAGAAGCCCAAGCGTGGCTTGTTTCTTCTGAAGTCTCGTCCTTCCACAGACCAGCCTCTCCACATGGTGAACGGTGGGTTGTGTGGGTCGTACGTCGATTCGTAATTGAGAGAATGGTGTGTTGTCTTGGAGGCTGCAGTTTTTATCCTTGTTTATTTGAAAAGGGAAAATAAAAATAGCAGTTCCGTCTCTCAGACGTTCCACAGGGGCTGTTAAATAATGGCAGTGAGCATTTATGGGAGCAGGGTAGAACTACCTTCTCGGCTGGAAAATGTCATTAAAGTGCACTGTGATGTGTGTGACACTCGGGTCAGCAGTACGGATCACCTCACATGGAGTGAGCAAACTTTGAGTACTTTTGTTTTTGCCATTGGCACAAAAAAAATAGTAATTTATCACAAGATATGTTTCCCCTTTTGTAGGAGAAGGCAGCAATACAGCTCCATCCTTGATAATCCTGTTTTTAGAGTTGTGGTACATACAAGACTCCTCAGTGACAACTCGTGTCCCTCTTTCGTGAAGGCAGTTGCCTGCCTCACAAAACCAGCGCTTTTCCAGACTTGCTCACGCAGAATCAGGGCTTTCTTCATCCCAACAGAGAAATTTCTCTCTCTTCCCACATGGCTTCTGGGTAGGTAGAGATAGAATCACAGAACAATTCAAGTTGGAAAAGACCCTTGGGATCATCGAGTCCAACCATTAACCCTACACTACAAGTTCACCCCTAAACCATATCACCCAACACCACATCTAAACGACACTTGAACACATCCAGGGATGGCGACTCAACCCCCTCCCTAGGCAGTCTGTTCCAGGGTCCACTCTTTCTGTGAAGAATTTCTTCCTAATGTCCAGCCTGAACTTGCCCTGTTGCAAGTTGCAACCATTCCCCCTGGTTCTGTCCCTAATTCCCTGTGAGAAGAGACCAGTATCAACCTCTCTACAATGTCCCAGCAGCTGGTGTGCCGTGAGAAGATGCCCAGGTCTCCCAACTGAGATTTCAGTGAACTTTTTCATAGGACTCCGAAGGGACGCTGGCGTGAGGCTGGACAGCAGGACCCTTACGAGCCCCTGCATATCCCACCCCCAAGTTGCCTGAGTACCTTCTGCATTGACCAGTCTGGCCTCCAGACATCCTTACTGGAAGCCCAGCTGGCTGCAGTGTCAGCCTTTCATGCAGGTGAACGCTGTTTTGCCCGTTCCCTAGCCACGTGGCTCATGAGGAGGATGGTAGATGAGGTAGGACCTCGCTGTAGGGCAGGGCAGAGCAGAAGGCGAGGAGAACTTCCCTAGACCTGCATTAAGAAAAGTGTGTCCAGCAGGGCTGGGGAGGTTCTGCTCCCCCTCTGGTGAGACCACCACTGGAGTGCTGTGTCCAGTTTGGGCTCCCCAGTTCCAGAGAGACAGGGACCTGCTGGAGTGAGTCCAAGGGAGAGCTACGAGAGGGATCAAGGGACTGAACATCTCTGCTGGGAAGAGAGACTGAGAGAGCTGGGGCTGTTCAGCCTGGAAAGGAGACGACTGAGAGGGGATTTATTAATGTAGAGAAGTATCTGAGGGGTGGGGGTCAAGAGGAAGGGGACAATCTCTGCTCAGTGGTGCCCAGTAATAGGACAAGGAATGATGGGTTTAAGTTAGAACATGGGAAGTTCCACCTCAACATGAGGAGAAACTTGTTGGCTGTGCGGGTGCCGGAGCCCTGGCCCAGGCTGCCCAGAGAGGGTGTGGAGTCTCCTGCTCTGGAGACTTCCCAACCCGTCTCGACGCGTTCCTGTGGGGCTGCCCTGGGTGACCTTGCTCTGGCAGGGGGTGGCACTGGATGATCTCTAGAGGTCCTTCCAACCCCAACAGTCTGTGATTCTGTGATTCTCTGATTGATTCTGTGATGAGGTGATGTCAAACTAAGCAGCGAATTAGCGCTACTCTTAGTAGTCCCAGATGGTTTTGCATCATTCAAGAGCATACCTTCAGAAAGTTACCCCCTTACATAGGTTACTACTTCAGAACACAGTGCTGAATTCTCTTGAATTCACTTCTGAAGGAGATTCTTTCTGTGCTGTTAAACAGAAAACAAGATTGTAAGGTTAAGTGGCGTTAAGTTACGATAAAATGGTTTCAGAATTTCTCTTTTAAATATTTTGGTGTGTAGTTTGCAGAGATCTTCCCTTCTCTGAAATAGAATCTGCGTAGCTTGAAAAGCTTTTTTTTTGTTGCAACTTTTGCAGAATTACCACTGTGCTCCTAGGCTCACATTCAGTCAACTTAGTGTGTGCTGCAGGTTGGTGAACTTCCAAACACGTAGTGAAGTATGCACTGCAAGTTAATAGAACTGCAAGATGAAGGTGCCAACTGCCCAAATTCTGTAATGTAAGATCTGGAGAAGGCAGTAAGTAAGGAGCAGGAAAGGGAATAGATTTTCAGGCTTTTTAATTCTTGTATTTATTCTTTTAATGGGGATACAGTAAGAAAGAAATCTTTAAGTATGTGAAATCTTTAGTTAATGTGGTTTTGTTATGAGAAGTATTTGGAAGTGGCTGAAAAGTGACGAACACAGCACTGAATCCAGAACAAAGATAAACAAAGCGTGAATTTATGCAAGATAATGAAACTATTGAAGTATATCTTGGTACAGAGGTCTGTCTTCATGGCTTATTGCAGTGTTTTTCAGATACAAGAAGTGCTAATTCTTGTTTAAATGCATCTGTCTGACAGTTTCCATTAACTATAAGCTTTTCTATATTAAACTTTTTCCCTAAATAGCCTCAATTTATGTCCTTTGAAATCTGTTACAAGCGTTGGACTAGATCTTTACAAAATTGCACTTTGTAGTAGAGTATTTTTAATACTCTCACCGTTTTTGTGATGGGAATTGAGGTAATAGATAGATTGAAAGCAATCTGCTCCTTGTTTGCAGAGTACTGAGTACAGTTATAGTCTCAATAAATAGTAGACTGGGATTTTCCCCTGCAAAAGTAAGAATCTGAAGAATAGTAAGGAAACACGTTTATCAGGTTCCGGTTTTGAGATGTTTTCAGTACCCGTACATGGGGCTGGAATCTCGATAACCTGCATAAGCAGGAGCGTATCTGCTTGTATTCCAGAAGTTGTTGCAGGTGACCGTGGGGAAAGAGGTCCTGGGTACATCCTGAGAACTCTGTGTCCTCTGCTCTGTAGGAAGACTCGTTTTTCCACCAACCTCTTCCCTGTAAATCGCTTAATTGCTGTTGATGAGTATGACTGACAGGCTGTGCCTGCGGTCTGTTGTACGGAAGCCTGTTTTCATGACTGTGCTCTGCAGAGCAGCCTGCCTGTGGTCTTTCCACTGTCCCCCTGCGGGTCTGGGTCTAGAACACCCGTGTTGTGTTCATCTGGGGACAGTTCTGACTGTGATGAAGGAGCATTTTCCTGTGGACTTCCCTGAAGCATTTAACTCTTGGGACCTTTCGGTTTATTCCATGGATAGCAAAATTACTACATGATTTATCTTTCTACATTTCCACGGAAAAACTGGCCAACCCTTTCCTCGGTGGTAGCACCGACTCTGGCTGGGGTGGCGTTAACCCTCCTCGCAATAGCCGGTCAGGTGCCCTGATCCAGATCTGCTGCTCTGACATGTGGGTGTCACACCCGTGTTTGGCTCTTGCTGATCCATGCCCGTGCCGTGCTGAGGCTTTCTCTGTTTTCGAGAGAACCAAACGGGCCCAAGAGCTGTGCTCAGCAGTAAAAAAAGGGGATGTTTCATCTTCCCGGATGAGTGCTGCCCAGACCGTGAGCGTCAGTCCGGGTGTGAGCGAGTGCTTCTGCATCACTGCTGTCCTGCCCCCACCTGCACCTACTAAACTGTCCGTCTTCACCCACGAGTTCTGCCACACTGCTTTTCCTGTTTTCTTCCCAGCACTGAGGGCTGCAGGTGAGCAAGCACTGTGGGATGTTCCTCTGATGGCTGGAGGTCTCTCCCCGACAGGGCCTTTCGCATCCCTCTCTTCCTCCACCTCTCGTGGAGTTTCGTGGCTGTGTGTGACATTGTGGCAGGGAATGTCCCGTGTCTGCTCCTCATTCCTTGCCCACCCCTGTCCCATTTGCAGGGTGGGCACCAGGGAACAGTGTGGGGAGAAAGAAAGCCTCAACACTGCGACAGTGCCTCAGCAGCAGACAAAACAGCGCCGCGTTATCAGCACAGTGTTTCGGTCACACATCTGAAACGCAGCGCTGCACGGGCTGCCAGCAACAAAACCAGCTCCCTCCCAGGCAGACCCTGTGCAGTCGTTTCAGTGACTGCTTCGTGAGATCTGAGTCTGCAGATGTGCAGCCGCTACAGATGTGCAATCGCTGGTGTGTGCCTGTTGCTGTGAGGGTGATCAAACACTGGAACAAGTCACCGAGAAAGGTTTGTGGAGCCTCCGTCCTTGGAGGAGCTCGGGACACGAGTGGGCAGGAGACAGAGCAGCTGCCACAGCTGACTCTGCTCTGAGCCGAGGGGTTGTGCTAGGTGCTCTCCAGAAGCGATTTCTGTGCCCAGCTGCCCTGTCAGTAACTTCCCTCTGTGTTTTTACAGTGTTCTTGTGCAAGACAGCACTCACAGATGTTTGAATTCTGGTGTGAGAACACGTGGTAGCAAAAGCACACCAGGCCATTTCTCTGTCCTTTTTTTCCCTCTGTTTCCCTTCTTTCCAAAGTTAACAGCATTCAAAAGTCCTCTAAAATTAGGAGTGGTTCTTTATTTCTGGTGATTCCATGTCAAAGGAGAAGATAAGAAACATTGTCCCAGTAAATAGGTGAGCAAGCTTGAATTTGAGACAGCACAATTTGGTGGATGATTGGAAGATGGTAGATAAACCTGTAATGTGGTGAGCTGAACGATGTGGGTTTACAGTAAATTCTTCATCTTTATAGTGTAACAGTGTATAGAATGGTGTTGTTTAGTTCTGCTTTCTGGATTCTTTAATTCACCCGTCAGCAGCTCGAATAGCTCCCAATTCACACTCAGTGTTGAGGAAATGATATTGCTCATGATGGTGAGGTACTTCGATAGTCGTCTGAGTAGCACAGACCTGGGGAGCCCAACAATCTCTGTGCTGAGCATTTTAAAATTTCCCAAGTAGCTGTGATGTAGTATCAAGATCCATCTTTTTTTTTTTTTTTTTATATCAAACCAAGTTTAATGTGTGGGTTTTCTAAATGTATGTTTATTCTTGTGTTCCTTCATATGTTTTGCGTAAGTAGGATTGTTGTTGCTGCCTGACATTGAAGACTGTGATTCATTCTTTTGTCCCCTAGATAAGTTTTGTGGTCAGTCTGATTCCATGCTTGACGTTTTACATGGGAGATAACCCATCACTTGCAGATCCGTGTTCCGTAACGTACTTGTCTGGAGATACCTGGTATCTTCGTGTTTGCAGTCGCCAGGCGTCGGAGCTGTGCTAGTGGCAGGGAAGTGTAAGTGACCCTCCGAGCCGAGCTCACTTGCGGGAGGATGGGGCTGCAGAGCTGAGCCTGAGTCTCTCTGTCGAGAGACAGAGTCCTGGTCTATGTGGTGCCTGAACTACAGAACGAGTTTTCAGATCCAGCTGTGTTTATTCTTCGGCGTGTCTTATGAAGCTGGAGTAAAATAGGTGCCTGGTGCTTGCAGTGAGGAACTCCTGTCCGCATTTTTAACCAAGAAAGGGGAAGAGGCGTTGACATTCAAGGTATTCTTGATTTGAGAATTAGGAGAAATCATATGTAATGCTTTTTTACTTATTATAGGGTGTTGGAAGTGGCTCTTCAAGAAGCAAAATATGACTGAATCTTTGTTTTCAGTAGCATGGCAATGCAGAAAATGGCTTATGCAGATTGGACCTTGGTAAAAACTGAAATAAAGTATTTGATTTTTAGTAATACTGAAAGAGAATTTTGTATCTTTCTCTACATACCTTGAAAACAAAAAATATTTGTGGGAACATTATTTTATCAAGTGGGCACTAGTTTGTAGCTTTAGAGTAAGAGACAGAAAAGTGAACAAAGTTGTCTTGTTTATATCTTTATTTAAAAGTTTTTGAGTTTATTTTTGAAATACCAGATATTGTTCCTTTGGGGCACAATTGTATCCAAGTGTAACATATCAGGGTTTCATGGCTGCCTGCTTTTGTGGTTACAGCTGGGTGTGCTAGAAGTGAGAAGACACACAGCGTATTTTTGTTTTCTGTTTAATTTAGCAAATTTTTTTAGGTTGATGTTTTGCGTACAAATTACTAATTTCTATTGATGTTCATGTTGCTGCTCTTTATTAAAAAGTAAACTTCAACAGCTGCAAAAAATAAGTTGGACCAACTCAGATGTCTTGAATTTCAGCTCGTATCTGCTGCTCCTTCTCTCCTAAGACTCCCAAACGTAGCTGCGACCTGAGCCTGGTGGCAGGAGCAGCGCTTCCCTGTGGAGGAGTGCTGCTGGTTGAGTATTTGATTCAACAGGGTAGCTGGGTGATTTACAAGTATGATCTGTACAAGCTCTGCTACAAACCTCCTCTATGTTCTGTTCTGCCCTCCTAAAAGGAAATTGCGCTGTCTCCCATTCGCCTTTGCTAGTTACTCTGGGACTTGAAAATTATTGCCAGTGAAATAGCAATTTTCAGCCTGGTTGGAGAGCTGGTAATGTGCGTGTGCTGTGTGAATGTGGAAGGAAAGCAGTGTCCTCATTTGGCATTTTAAGCAACTATTTAAAATATTTTACAGAGTTTAGAATTAATGCATTCTGAATACAGTTTTGTGAGCTTTCTTGACTTTAGTGTATTAGGAAATCCTCATTGCTTCAAATGAGATTATGATGTTTAACACTTGATTTTATTAAAACTTCGTGGGAAAGTTTTCTGTGGTTGTATGGAAGAGAAAATTCTGAAACAGAAGGAAAACTAACCTGTTTAACACTCCAATCCTCTTTTTCTTGTTGGAACAGCATCGCTGACATCATTGAACACTATAGAAAAGAGCAGATTGTCGAAGGGTATTACCTTAAAGATCCTGTTCCAATGCAGGTAAGATTTCATCTGCGAGCACTTGTGACCGAAGACACAAACCTCATCATCATCAGATCAGTTTGCGGCAGAGATGCCAGCGGCAGCTACACGGTGTCACCTCCAGTGGTGAGGCTTTCAGCCAGTGTGTTTCTGCTGTTCTGTGCTCTCGTGCACTCACTGACCGAGGTGAGGGCTGCAGCCCGCAGGGGCTGTGGTCAGCTCTGTCTGCCTCCCGAGGTGTCCCTCCTCTGCCCCGGGCCCTGGCCCGGCCGAGCTGTGTGCCTTCGTCCCGTGTCAGGGGAACCAGGATGCCTTCCTTTCTTCTGGGGTTTTTCTTCTGCCAGAGAAAACCTGTGAGCACAGGAAAGCTTCGGGGGTGATGGCAGGGCTTGTTCCCGAGTGCTCTTGCCCCAGAGCAGGTGATCATCTTAAAGGACGAGTCTTGAGCACACACACCCCGTCATCTACCTTCTCATAAGGTTATGATTATAAAGTATACATAGATGTGTTGTTCCCCCTCCTTTTACTGTTCCAGTCCTTACAAATCTGCCTTTCATTTCCTCCCTAAGTAGAGTTACACTCAATTTACACCCCTTTGTGGGGTCTGTCGTATTAATGCAAGATTTCTTGTATTCTCTCATAGTCAGCCCACTAATCTAAGCACCCCAAAGCTGGTCCTGTCTGTTTGTAGCGCTGCCCTGCTGCCCCCCATTTTGGTGTGAGCTCACCTTTAAGTGTGGTGTCCCAGAGCAGTTTAAAGTACCACGTCATGGGTAATTCTCTTTCTCTCTGGAAAATCCCTAACAGAGGTATCCTAGAATAGGTGTGGTTTTCTGTGAGTTGACTCTGGTGAGCAGCTCAGCACCCACACCTTTGGTTGCCCACTCCCCTCTCCTGAGGGGTGTGGGGAGAAAGCCAAAAAAATCCTGGGTTGGCATAAAAGCAGTTTAACAAGCAGAAGCAGGAGGGTGAGGGTGATGCAAAGGCTGAAAACCCCCCACGAGCAGCCTGATGTGCAGCCACTCTGCTCGTAGCCGCTCCTGTGCTGCGTGGCGTGGAGCGTCCCTTCGGCCCATTGGCATCAGCTGCCCTGGCGGTGCCCGCCCCGAGCATCTTGCCCTCCTCAGCCCCCTGTCCTGGGAGCAGGACAGGGCAAGAATCACACCACATTAGGGGTTGGAAGAACGGAGAAACTCTTGAGTCTGTGCAGTCCCTGATCTGCCAGGGCCAGAACAGCGTGTGAGCCAAATGCTGGTGTGTAACCCGCGCTGTTAGTGGGACGGGAGTTGGCTCTGTTGCTGCCAGACCCTCTGCACTGAAGGAGCCACATGGGTCACAGCTCAGTCCCCCTGCAAGGGACGTGTCTGCTCGGGCATCTGGTTTTGTGTGATCTAGAGGTGTCAACGGGTGTAACTTTCCTGTTGCACTAGTAGAGTTACACTGTGTCAGCTCTCATCTTCTCTGTACTGCTGGCTGGCTGGGCTGTGTGGTCAGTGCACCCCAGCTGTTTGTTGCTGGTAGCTCACGCTCGGTGAGTTGGGACAAAGAGCGAATGTGAACCCTGAGACGGCTCCTTGAAGGGCTTCTCCGGGAGCTCTGCTCGTGCTCGGTCACTGCTATCCAATCATGGCAGCAGGTGCCTTCGTTTCAGTCCTTTGCACTTCGAGTTCCTGTGTTAGTGATCTTGTCTGCATTGACTAGTTTTCTTTGTGAGGTGACATTTTTTAACCTATTTGGGTATATTTATTTGTGCCTTTCTTTGTTTAAAAATTTACTGCTCAGTTGTGCAACCTGCGTCCAGCTTTGTGTGATGTTCCTTCCATGCTCTGTGTTCTCGAGGGGGAAAAAAGTTCAAAAGCCTTCCATGCTTTTACAGTCAATCTGATTGGTTTCCTGTGTATACACATGAAATTTACCTAAAAATATTTGTCACTGGCTCTGTCATTTTGTGCGCTGTTCCACATGCAGTTGTGTTATGGAGATAGTCTTGAGCTCATAAATGTCTGAATGTTGCTTCTGTTGTCAGTCCTGTCATTCCTGTTAGTACCAGCAAAGTGTTTGTCATCCTGCTTTTGTGATGCTGTTCAAATCCATAATTCTTGCACACATATGGGCAGGAAGAAGAGTAGAGTATTTAGTGTGAGTGTCCCTGTGTCACTTGTCATCTCCGTGCTGCTATCCCTGCTTGACAGTCTGTCTTTTCACATTTTCTTCTGGCTAAACAACTTTTACTGATCAGCTTCTTCCGTAAGGTCAGACCTGGCTTTTGGCCATTCTCATTCGTTACCTGCATTTTGAGATCATCCAGTTTCTGCTTTCTTCTCTTGTGCTGAGTTCTGCTCGTTGTAACATGTGTGTTCTGACGGGATTAGTGAGGGCCTGGGCAGCTCGGAGTCAGTTTTAACTGCAATCTGCACAATCCTTGTTGCTTCAGAGTTTATCCAGGATTACTCAGTCCCAAAAGCTTTGGTAGGAGACAGTTGGAAGTAAGATAAATCTTTAAATGCATGCCTAAATTTAACAGAAACCATGGTGAAAGATGCTGCTTTTTATTTAGTATGAAAAAACCACAATGTTACTTTGTAAAGAGTTGATCTATATTGAAAGCTTTTTTTCTTTTGTAATAAATCTGGAAATATGGAAATAATTGTATTATTCTCATAGTAAGGGCATTGTATGAAAAGTTATATAGCTTTATTAAAATGCATGAGAGAACAATGGTAGTGAGTTGGTAGCATGCACTAAGATGATCTTGGTTGTGGTTTCATAGTATGCAACTTCTTGATGGCCATTTCTGAGCTTAAAACACATTTTTCTTACATATTTAACAGCATCAAGAGCAAGTGCTTAATGATACACTGGATGGAAGAGAAATATACAATACAATTCGTCGGAAAACAAAGGATGCTTTTTATAAAAATATTGTCAAAAAAGGTTATCTTCTGAAAAAAAGTGAGTTATGTTTACTTCTGTGGTTTTTCTTCCTTAAAAAAAATTTATATCTAGGTCATAGAATATTAGAATTCGTCAGGTTGAAAGGGACCCTTGAGGATCGGTATGTCAAACTCCCTGCGTCTCACAAGACCACCTAAAAACAGAATATGTTGCCTCGATGCTCCTTGAGCTGTGCCAGGCTGGGTGCTGTGACCACCTCCCTGGGGAGCGTGGTCTGGTGACTGAGCGCCCTCCCGGTGCAGAACCTGCTCCTGGTGCAGCCTCATTCCGTGTCCCCGTGTCTGGGTGCTGACCACCAGAACAGCGGCGTCAGGACCTTGCCCTCTGCTCTGCCCCGAGAGGACGCTGCACCCTGCAGCAGGGTCATGCCTCAGCCAGCCCCGCGCTGAGCAGGCACACTGAATGAACTCAGCACAGTTGTGGTGTGGGAAGGAAAAAACTGAGTTGGGAAAAAGATTCTGAAGAGTCTGAAGGATCGCTTTCCAGAAGTAGCACGTAAACACGGTGACGGGGTATAGAAACGACGCACAGTGTGAGGATGCTGACTGGCAGTGATCCTCAAAAAAATCAGCACAGCACAGCTGGTTAGAGTAGGTTAGACAGAGCTACAACAGTACAAATCTGTATGTTTGTTGGACAGCACAGCTGCTTTAATTTTGTTATTCCAAGTTAGATAATATGCCTTAAATCTTAAATTTAAAACGTATACTCTGCTGTACAAGACACACAGCAACTCTTTTAGGGCTCTAACCCAGGTGTGGTGGACATAACATAGAAAAAATATATTAAAAGCTGACTGCTCGACTCATCTCAGTGTAACCCTGAAGAACAGCTGTGGAACAAGTCTGCAAAGTTCTTAGGAAGCCAGTCCCCTACCAATTTCTACATTCTGTAAAGCCTTTCAAGGAAGCAGGAAAACTACCAGTAATAAAATTTCTGCAGATGGCAGAGACTGTAACTAGAAGGGTGAGTTACGGATGGTAATCTGAGTAGTGACCAAAAGTGGGAAAGGAGATACGATTTTACATACAGCCAAATAGGAGAGATCCTGAAAACCCAAACCACCCGAAGCTGTAGACCCTCTGGACAGAACAAGGAAAGCGTCTTTCTGCGGATAAGGCTGATTCTGAGAGGAGGTGTAGAGGATGTCACAGAGAGAAATCCGATAAGAACGAATGGAAAATGTTTAGTTAAAAAAGGCAATGACATATGCTGGACAAACTAGAGTCCTGAATAGTTGTAGAGAGATGTCCTTAGCTGTGTATATACAGAACAAATTCCATAAAAGCACTTTTCCACCTTGGAGACGGGATGTAATAATGACTTGTTAGATTCCTCTTTTCAAAATGGTGCTAGTTGTGGAGGCTTGTGGTGGTTTTATGATGGTCAAAGTACAGAATTAAGTCTGGAAGATGTTGCTAAATGGCACTGTGACTTGGGCAGGGATTATCTGCAGAAGTTACTCACCTGCTGTGGTTCAGAAAAGGTTCTCTCTCAAACAAGTGGGACCCAGCGAGGTCTCGGTGTGGTTGTGTTGGGTTCGATTTCAGTTTGCCCACAACGTGTTCCTGTTTCTGCAGTGGAACCTGGTAGACGTTGGTCAGAGTTCAGGAGTAACTTTTCCTGTCAGCAGCCTGTTCTTAATCAAAGCTGTAATAAAAGGGATCCACAGCATCGCTATTCTCAAACCGTGTGGATGCGGTCGTAAGGCTGATGGGAGCTCACTGTCCAGGTGGCTCGTATGCACCTGATCCTACTGAAATTGGTGAAAATGTTCAGAGAACATTTTGCAGCTTTACTTGCGTCTGTGAAGGGGATCTAATTTTAACCACACGTTAAATAGAATCGAATACGTGTACCACTGCTGTAACTGAGGTGTGATGGACTGGATGTCCTGCTGCTGTTGCACTTTGACAAAAGCTTTACCGCCCTCTTCAGTTCTCTTCATTTACAAAACCCACGCTTTCTTCTAAACAGTTTCATAACTTTTTGCTTGATGCTTTTACAGGTAAAGGAAAGAGGTGGAAAAACTTGTACTTTATATTAGAGGGAAACGATGCCCAGCTTATTTATTTTGAAAGTGAGAAACGAGCCACGAAACCCAAAGGACTCATAGACCTGAGCGTGTGCTCTGTCTATGGGGTACACGACAGTTTGTTTGGCAGGTAAGACGCTGGTTTTTCTTGTTGTGTGTGCAGCTGGAGAGGTGACCGCTGGTTTGAGGCACATTCAAGACGTGGGCAACAAGTCCTTGGTGACCAGTAGCCCTGGCTTGTGTTGTGGCTCGTGGTTCATGCGGGGAGCCTGCAGTCGCAGGCAGGTGTAGCTGATGAGTAATAACTTGTTTAACTATGGCGACTTGATTGCTAGCAACCATTCCTAAAAAACTCCTGGCTAGAAATTTTAGAATTCAGTATTAACATTAAATTGTAGAATTTAGTGCTAACGATTTCTTGTGAAGTAAGATGTGCTGATGATTCAAGCTTTTTTGCAATGTCATTTTTGAATATTGAGCATGTTAATTGTTCCATGTTCCATTTTACAGACCTTAGAGGTTATGAACTGGGGAGTTTAATCCTTTTGCACTGAGAATTGACAAGATAAATGATTTTATCAATTCCAAAAGTTCCACGTTATTTGGATAGGTATTTGAAAGCTGACTTGGATAGGTGAAGTGCTTTTCTATTTAAGGACATTGTTAGATCAGACTAACTTAATAGTAAACTAGTTCATATAACTCAACATCATCAGAAATTGCTTTTGCACAATTACTATATTCAGAAATAATTTTCTCTTCAAATCTTATTTCCTGTAATATTTAGATACTCAAACTACCACAACTGCAAGGGATGTGATTAGCAAAGAAGCAGAGAATCAAAAGCCTTTGAGATATCGTTGGTAATTAACAAGAGCAGGTTTATATATTTGATAATTGTGAGTTAGAAAAAACCTCCACTGACCAGTCTTACAGTGTCATATAGAAGAAATGAGTGCACTTTTTCCTATTAGATAGACATTGTGGTTGTCTTGTGGCTCTTAATATATAATTAAAATGAAACCTAGCCAATTTCTGTTTATTTTTGTGAAAGGACTTAAAGACCAATGCTTAAAGTTAGTGGCATTTCTTAGGCTGCAGAGACTGCTTTTGTGTGATCTGTGTGGTCATTTTTAGCGTTTTTAATAATTTTGACAAAATCAGTTAAGCTAATGGAGTGGGGAGCGTAGTTACAGGTAAAGGTACCAGAACAGTCATTAAACAAATTACTGACGCGTTCCTTACGTCAGCTGGCAGTTGTGCAGGGAGCTCTGAGCTATAGTGCAAACGTGGAACGTCCTGGTTTGCAGCAAGTGTGTCCTGAGCAGCTTTCAGCAGGCGCTGTGCTGGGGCTTAACATCTGGTTGGACGGTGACTGCGCCAGATGTGGGCAGCAGGAGACCTGCGGCCGCAGGAGCTTGGCAGGCTGCAAGTGAGTAACTGTGACCGAGACAAAGTTCCTCCTGCATTTTCAGCAGTCGGTAAAAACTGCTTTTGCCCCTCACTCAGACGTGCAGAGGAGTCTGTGGCTTTGCGTGGCTCGGTGGCCGCAGTGCTTTAACGGCGTGGCACTTCTGCAGGTGGTGGGACAGGCAGGGAGGGGGGGGGAACGGCAGGGCAGCCGCAGCAGGTGGAGTCCCTCCGGCGACGCTGCTCTGGGGAGAGCTCAGTGCCCTCGAGCATGGGCTGGAAGGTCACGAGCGAAGTGTGCAGTCTGAGTATCTCTTGATTTAACAAAACAATACAGTTCTTTACCTGAGTTTTTGACAGAAGAGGGCACGGACACTGTGACCGGGTGTCAGCTGGCAGAGGTTTGTGTCAGAGGTGCTCAGGGGTTGGTGTGTGACCGAGTGCACGTTGTTTCTGGTGGTGAGAACCACTGGGCCCACTCAGAGAGGAGACTCCTTGTGTTAGTGTTGCTTCTGAGCTGTCACAGGATCGCAGAGTGATTTGGGTTGGAAGGGACCTTAAAGCTCATCCAGTTCCAACCCCCTGCCATGGGCAGGGACATCCCCCATGAGATCAGGCTGCCCAGCCTGGCCTAAAAAATTCCCAGGGACAGAGCATCCAGAGTCTCCCTGGGAACTAATGCTGAACCTTGGCTGCTTTTCGAGTCTCTGGAAACAGTCCCTGTTGACAAGTCTTTTCCATGTCAGATGCTGTTTTTTCCTTCAGCTGTAAGCACACTTACCTCTTCAGTAGAGACGGTTCCAAAATTTTCCGGGTATTCTGAGAACACCAGCTGCACTGATGTGTGGTTTCCTTAAAATGACATAATACATTCAAACTAAAATACTGTTTTTAAGGACCTGAGAAATTTTCTAGTTGGAGTTCTCCTCTTTCCATGTGTGATGATGCTACATGTGTACAAACAGAAACTGATGCAATGTTAAATGCTCCTTACCGATGAATAGCAGAAATGTATTAGCTCAGTGTAAAATTTGTTTTACCACAGATCAGCAAGTGATGGTGTCCATTAATATTACGAAGATTAATAAAACTTACATTTTTTGTTTTGTTTATTTTTAAGGCCAAACTGTTTTCAGATAGTAGTTCAGCACTTTAGTGAAGAGCATTACATCTTTTACTTTGCAGGCGAAACTCCAGAACAAGCACAGGTGAGAGCTTTTGTTGGTAAATATAATTTAAGAAGTAATTTCTTGTCATGTGGTATTTAATGACATTGCCCTTCTGAAACAGGAAGCTGGTGTATCACAGTCAGTGGCCATGTGGCCGTGTGTCAGCAGGTGTGTTAATGGAGTCATACCAGATGTGTAAAGGGAACATCTGGCTGGTGCGCAGCATCTGGCACCTGCAGCACCTACACTTGGATTCATACTCTGGACAAGTCCCATGGACTGAGCTTCCGTTCTTTACCATTGTATGTGCCTGGGGAACTTTTTTTTTGACATTGTTGTTTCCTACATTGTTCGAATCAGAAGAATAATTTACTCTTCAGGATTTTTCCATGCTATAAACCAGAGCATGGTAAGTGGGAGTTTCCCTTCAAAGGCATATTCCTGATAGGAAGTAAAATCCTAGTTCATGTGCCTGTGCCCAGGGATCAAAGTACATTGAGCAGCTGCCTTTTGCAGGCATGTAGCCTGTCCATAAAGTGGTGGTTGTTCATGGTCTGGGGCCCTGATTTTGCGTAAAAAAATCAGGTTTTCTGGTTCTAGATGGTATCACCAGCTCTGTAGTGGTTGTGTTTGCTGATGAAGAAATGCAGGATAGGAGCATAATACTCTGAAATTCCCTCACTAGCGCAACGGCTAGAGGAGACAACATCCTTATTTAAGTTTACAGTTCTGCAGGTCCACAGCTCTGCCATATACTTGTTGCCATTACAAGTTAAACTTTGCATTTGATTTTTTTTTTTTTGAATGAAACTAAAGCTCTTTAAAGTACTCATAATATATTGCTACTCACCAGAGCACGAAGGCTGTACAAATTCAGGAGTATTCTTGCGCTGTATATGAAGGAAATCCTATTAAGACAAATTGATGAAAGTCACTGAGATGATACCAGAATGATGTGGTGCCGTTTGTTACACCATCCTTAATGTACTGTCTTTGGGAAGCGGTGTGCTGCCTAGTAATTGAGAGTACATACATTAATGTCCACGCTGATTACTGTACATTTGTTTGTCACATATGCAATGTCTCTCTGAGTTCTTGAAATTCGAAGAATTAAGAATGTGTAGAAGACAGAATATCCTGCCTTGTTCCCTGAACACTTGGTATAATCTGCTTTTGGTTTTTGATCTTCTTAGCAGGCTGTTCACTGCTTTAGTACAGAATACAGAGTGGCGTGGGTTTGAGGTTTTTTCCTTTTTTTTTGTTTTTTTTTTTTAACAATATGGCTTTGGCCCAGGAAAGTTTATATATAATTCTTTAGAGAAAGCTCGGCTTTCTTGCTCTGTCACATCTCATAGAGGAACAGTTTTATTTGTGCATCGAGGCTGTGTTATGACAGGTAAATAAGTACCAGAGCAGTGCCATCCCACGGACTGTGTGTTGACGCTGTGGTTTATGCAAAACAAAAGTAAGTGCAAAGTGTGGAGGTGGGTGCTGGTGCCAGTGGGGTCACTGGCACACCGCTCGTTCTCACCGCTCAGAGCTCTGGCCGCTGGGCGGGAAGGTTCCTGCGGTGAGTAAGCTCAGAGGTGCTCTGTGCGCCTGGGGAGTGTTTCTGTTAAAGAGTATTTGGGAGGCATTTGTTCCTCGATCACTCCTCCTTCTCAGAACAAGCAAACCACTGGAACTTGGTGAGGTGTGGGTGAAAGCTCTTCCTTCTGTGGAGGGATCTGAGAGCTGAAACCCAGCTCGCCCGAGAGCAGCTGCAGCACAGCGTCCTGTGTTTTTACAATGCGGAAGATGCTGCGAAGGGCGGGATCGAAACAGCATTGTGGCGTTTTTAATGACATTTTTGAGTGGTAGTTCCAGAACAGATGGTGGATCTTTGCGATACAGACTTCATAAGACTCTTGGCCTGAAACCTAAATTTTGTGCTTTGCCAGAGCCGGACAGAGTGTGGCTGGGGGACAAAACCAGAGAATGAGGCTCTTCCACCTCCCCCTGCGAGCCTCCTCTGTCAGCAGCTTTCTCACGCTGCAGCGACTTCTGCAGAGTGCCCAGCAAGTCGGCGGTGCCTCTTAGCAGCTTACTTGGTTTTTTAGAAAATACACACAGAGGTTCTACTGTCAGTTTGGAGTTAGACACTGTGTTGATTTCCCTGATCAAAACGGAATCCACTCACGCGCTCTGCCGTGTGCGTTTGTGGACAGAGTGGGGAATGTTGGACACCCGCTTCGAGTTTCTCCATGAGATTTGGTATATTTTTTTATTTGAAGTATACACAGTACTATGACTGCTATTCAGAAGTACTGTGGGGAATAATCCAGGCGGTTTGGCTTGTTAACAGTAATTTTCTCAGAAGCAAAGGAGTTTTGCTTCATTTTATGTTCCATTTGTAACCTAATGCAGTATTGCTAGTCTGGAAGGTTGGTAATGGTCATGCTGTATATCCATTAGTAAAGCTTGACATTTCTTAAAGAGAAAGTGGTTCACATTGGCGAGTTCCTTATTAGATTCCGCTCAGTAAAGATTTTTCCTTTAATGTGCAAACTTTCGTACTTTGGAATTACGGAAGACTTGGGGTTTGCCAAGCTCTAGGGAAAACTTCAGGTAGTTCTGTCTGTTCCGCTGCGAGAAGCTCTGTCTCACTTTTGTCACGCTGTTCTGCATCCTTCTCTCTTAGGACTGGATGAAAGCTCTGCAGATGTTTTGCAGTTTAAGGAAAACCAGCCCAGGAACATCAAATAAACGTCTGCGTCAGGTGAAGCTGATGTCATGGGGTTGGCTGTGCATGTGGAGCACTGTTTTGCTTCCTCATTGCAAAGCAATGCTGATGAATCTCAGATTTTTCCTTCCAGCTGTAGTAAATCCTGCACTTGCTTACTTTTTGTGAGTTTGATGCGATACCCTCGTGGAGCCAGCCAGGGTGACCTACACTTGGCTAAAATACCCACACGCACAGAGCCCAGCCTGGCTTCAGGCAACCTGCTCCGGCTTTGCCCGGCGTTATTTCCTGACTCATCGGACTCAGAGCGTGAGGAGTCACTGTTGGTATCGTCCTCACTTGCAGAATTTACTACATCAGAGAGACGTTAAAAACTCAACAGACGCATGTGATGTGTAAACAAAATATTCGCTTAACTAATATCATTGATTTTAAGAAACAAACTCGTGCCGAGCCAGGCTTGTGGCTTAATTTGTCTTTGGCCTCTTGAAAGTGCTGGTTTTGCCAGAATTTCCCCCGGGGCAGAGGACAGACAGACAGTCGTAAATGGCTGAGTCTGTCGCGATTGGGGAGTAGCAGGAAAGTCCTTCAAGAATCCCTGACGTTCTGGGGAGTTAGCAACATCGAATGCAGCTGTTTAGAAAAGCAGAGAAAGGAGCAAAATAAAACGTTTTTCAGGTCACACAACTATTCTGAGATTCACGTTAAAGGTGCTCGGATGCTTCCTAATAAATTACTAAATTAGGTGAGTTCACAGATGAAGTGGCAGGTGGAGCCGAGGGTTTCAAGTTGCAAAGGCAAAGCAAAAAGACAATCTGAAACAATTCTTTACTCAAAAAAAGCAAAGAAAACACTCATCTACATAAATTAGCATGTGATGTGTTGGGGGAATTTTATGTAATCTGTTAGGAAAGCACCAAATAAGCATTGTGGTTTTTTGGAATCTTCCAAGGTGCCAGTCTTTGATGTTGGTAAAATGTTCTGTGCGTAGAAAAGTTAATATTTGCAGATCCCCGTTTTTAAAAAGACGAAAACTAGACACACTAAAAACATGAGGCTGGGGTTTTGTTTTCAGTAATTATTTGAGTTACTCTTATTTTGTCACTGGTGCCTCTTAAAAGGTTGTTCTTTTACTTCTGTTCCTTACCCTTATTATTGGAAAATTTTGGTATGTAGTCAGTATTCATATATTAACATTAAGCCTCTGCACAGAGGATAGAAGAAATCATTCATTCATGTGTTTTGTATTTCCATTTTAGCAACAAGAGTAAATTTTTATTTATTTATTTTTTAGGTCAGCAGCCTAATTTTGCATGTAGAAGAAGCTCATACGCTCCCAGTAAAGCATTTTACTAATCCATATTGTAACATCTACCTGAACAGTGTCCAGGTAGCAAAAACACACATCAGGGAGGGGCAGAACCCTGTGTGGTCAGAGGAATTTGTCTTTGAGTAAGTGTTCATCTTGTTGAATTGCTGAGTTTCACTTTCAGATTGCTTTGCATTTAGCGTCCTTAACACTGTGGGCTCTTTTCCACGGGCTTTTCAGAAATACTGCGTATGTGTTGGTGCAGCAACAGGCCCTCAGCCACATTCAGGCCTGGGCAGAATTTTCTGCAGGCACCTCAGTATCTCTGTTCATGGAACTGTTGGGGGCTGGTAACAGAAACTCGGGATGGAAATGAGTTTATTCTAAACCTGAGAGCTAGCCAAGCATACCGTTAACTGAGGCTTTCTGTCTTCTCTCCTAGTGATCTTTCGTCTGATATTAATAGATTTGAGATAAGTCTTAGTAACAAAACGAAGAAGAGTAAAGACCCAGATATACGTAAGTATTTTTCTGTGAGTATAGTGCTGCCGTGGATACGTGGTGTGGTTTTCACTACTCTTGTCACAAGGGAATTAAGGATGTTTTTATGCCCCCTGTACCCCTGTGTGTGTGTGTTTCTGATGCCTGGTACTGGCTTTCTGTTAACGTTTTTACAGTGAGAACCGGTGTGGGTGATAAAATGCACAGAAATCCAGTGGCTCTCCTGGTGAGCTCTGGAGCAGTCGTGTGGTGCACGACGACTGCGCTTGACAGAAGCCACGAGGAAGAAGCTTTGAGTCTGAGTTTGCTCCATAAAATGCTGAGTTCCACAGTCTTCAGACTGATTGCATGGAATTCCTTCCCAGGTTCTTTGTGGCTTTCAGTGAGAAAGAGAAAGGGAGGAAACTTTAATCATAAAAAGAAAAAAATTGAAGTAACAGAGCCTTGGCAGTCCAAAGAAAATTTGCCTTCTTTTCTTTCCATTTTGCTTCATGTCTGCTTTCCTTGTGTCACTTTCTGGGCTTAAAGCTGAAGTTGCCTCAGAATCACTTTGAATGGGAAAAGATTCTTGGGCGTTTTACAGAAGTCACCAAGAATTTACTCTCCTTGTGTTACCAGACAGCTGCTGCTCAAGGTGTGGTTTTGTTTCTCCACCAGCAAATTAACAGCGAGCTGGTGAGGTCTGTTAGCTTCCTAGAAAAGGAGTTTGAAGAATGTGGATTCTCAGCTCTTAGATAGGGGAAAAAAACACAATGTTTTTTTTAAGTTTAGCTTTCTTCCCACAATGTGTTTTTAGTTGAAGGTTTTTTTGTTTGGTTTTTTTTTTCCTTATTCAAGGTATCTTGTTTCCCACCTACCTGTTCTGGAGCAGCTTCAGCTCTCTGCCTCTCTTTGCTGCCTGCAGGGCAGAATGCCCTCCCTGCCCACTTCCAGTTTGTTCCAAGATTTTTTCTTTGCCGTTGTGTTCAGAGCTGTCTGTTCCAAAGCCTGTCAGTGTTTATAATCTATGCCAGTTGTTTCCAGTTCGCATATATTGTGTTACTGGCCTGTTACATAGGCCTTGGTGCTAACTTATTGCATTTCTTAGGGGGGTTTTTTAAGACTTGTAGGGAACCCTCGACCAAAGTGGAAGAATTACAAGACACTTTGAATGCTCTTGCAGAACCTAATTCAATTTCAAACTACTTCTTGCTTCCTCTGACTAGAGAATTTTGTGTGTAGCGGGAGGAAGAGGGACACGTGCCCTCTGACAGACAAAAGGGCTCTGACTGCAGTTACGACTGTTCTTGCTCTGCTCTTGTATTTATTTGAGCTGCCAAACTCGTTATCCATCTGCACCACAGCTGTGCTTAGTTAAAGGACCTTGACAAGGGTAATTCTTGGAGTGCCATACTCGAGTGACTTTAGTGTTTCTGTAAGTTTGCTCCTCTCTGTCCAGATGAAGAAGGTCGTGTTGGCTTTGGACGTGTCCCACTGATGGGACGTGGTAGGAGGTTTCCTCACCTGGCGCAGGAGCAGGATTGGCTGAGTCTCCTGGTGGCAGCGTGAGCCAACAGCCCTTTCCTCCTGGGATAGGAGTTGCACTAAGCCAGCCTGCATGAAAAAGCGTTTCAGGCAGTCAGGGCTGGTACTGAACACTTCAGTACCAATTCTGTTTATTGTTTTCCGTTTCTCTAACTGTAAATTGCATAAGGATTTATTCAAATAAATATATGTATTATGGCTTGAAAACAACAGCACCTGCAGTGTGTTAGTAGAGTTCACCTCCTGCTGCTGCAAACTGGGGCCTTAAGTGTGATGAGACAGGTAAGTGGGAAATTGTTCAGGGCAGTGGTGTTAACTGGAGGGAAGTTCCAGTTTGGTTTTGCACCACGACAGCTTAATTTCGGGTTAGGTCATGCTGGAAAATAAACGTTTTTATAACGGAGGTGGTCGTCCCACGCAGGCGGGTCCGTAGAGCAGAGCATTGGCCAGTGTTACTTGCTGGCTCTTGTCTGTACCAGGGCCAAAGTTGTTTTTCGGAGTGGGAGGGTGGGCTGTGCAGGTGTGACTGGTGGCTGGGAGAGACAGGGTTTAGTTCACCATGCACTGAGCAGTTTTTTCTTTCTCAAGATTTCAGGTGGCTCTTACTCCGAATCAGTCATTAGATTTTATTTTTCCAAGAGTTTTTGGATGTCTCTGTTCCGTTCGGCCGGGGTAGACGAAGGCTTTGTTGGAAACTCAGATTCATTTCCAGCCTGCAGGCTGGAACAGACCTGACTCTGAGCTACTTCTCACATTGTTTCCCAGGTTATAATTGCTGAAAAAACAATCTTTTTGCTAAATATGATGCCCAAAGTTTCATTAGGAAATAAGCTATTAAGAAACAAGTTTTTTGTACTACTGTGCATCATCTCAAATATTGTCATTCTCTTTGGATCAAGGTCATTGTCAAGAGAATTCTTAACCTGTGTCTGGAGAGATCAATTATTGTTTGGATGTTCATGGGTTTTTTAATACATTTGTTTCTGTTTTAAAATGTGATAGGTTCCAAAGTATAAATATCCTAAATTTTTCAAGCAATAGCAGTCTCTTGCTGGAGGTGGCCGCCTAATTCAGTCTGAGCTGCTAACTAGGAGCAAGTCTTTCTCCTTACGATAGCAACTGTTCTGCAGATACTCTGCAGATATTTCTCTTCTGACCTTTTTTTTTTCCCTGCAAATCCAGCAACATGGTAGTATTTATGTTATAGCTATAAATGGCTACTGTAACCACAGGGAGAAATTAAATCATTGATTTATTCCAGATCCTATATTTTATTCACCGTTCTGCTCACAGGGAGGAATGTGCCAGCAGAGTGAGGTGAAAACCGCATTGCTCGGTCGCGGGTACAGGAGTTTGATGCTGGCGAGAAACATCCCAGGGAATCGGTTGATTTTCTGGTTTAAAGACATAGTCCGGGCCGCACTGGTGATAAGTGACCGGCTGCAGTGAATTGTTTTTCACACTGTTGGACTGACTTGGGTGCATCAGTCATGTGTGAATGCCCGTGCGGCATCTTTGCACGCGTGTGTGTGCGTTCCTGACAGAGAGTTTGGTGTTTCCTCGTCAGCTGCTGGGAGTCTGCTGAGCTGCTGCAGAGAGAGTCTGTTGATATGTTGGCGGCAAAAATCTCCATTGCTCCTATTAAAATTCTTCTGTGGTGTGCTGAAAATAAACTCTGTTTTTATTCAGTACTAGCCCTGTTTTGCTGGAGACACCTCACCTGAGCGATGCTTTTCTCCCGTCAGTGTTCATGCGCTGCCAGCTGAGCCGGTTGCAGAAGGGACACGCGACAGACGAGTGGTTCCAGCTCAGCTCCCACGTTCCACTCAAGGGCATCGAGCCGGGGTCTCTGCGTGTGCGAGCACGATACTCCATGGAGAGGATCATGCCAGAAGAGGAGTACAGTGAGTTTAAAGAGGTATGAAATTGTTAAACTTTCCGTGGCTTACCTCTCAAAATTCATTTTGTTGGTTTGTTGTGACAGATTTTAGTAACTTTGGTTGACATCATTAAATAATATTTATAGGGACACGTGTAAATCACTACAGATCCATAAAACCAGATTTTCGAAGGGTGTTGTGTCCTAATAGAAGCTTCTGAATATTTTAAAATTCCGTTTTTCTTTCAGCTCATACTCCAGAAAGAACTCCATGTAGTCTATGCGTTATCACATGTTTGTGGACAGGATAGAACACTGTTGGCTGGCATTTTATTGAAGATTTTTCTTCATGAGAAGCTTGAGTCCTTGTTGTTACGAACACTAAATGACAGGGAGATAAGCATGGAAGGTACTACGCTACATTGCACTGAAGTTTGCTGGAACCCTGGGCTGGCAAGGAGGGAGGGGCTCTGGCACGTTCTTTTTTTATTTATTTTTTTTCCTTGTCAAAGTGTAAACACAGCATCTTTTTCCTCTGCTTTTTGTTGTCTTTTCTCACCTTTCCACTTTGCTGTTTGGGTTTTTTTTTCAGATGAAGCTACCACCTTGTTCCGCGCCACCACTTTGGCAAGCACACTCATGGAGCAGTACATGAAAGCCACAGCAACAAGTTTTGTTCACCATGCGCTGAAAGACTCGATACTCAAGATAATGGAGAGCAAGCAGTCCTGTGAGGTGATACTCTGAATGATGTTCTTAAACATTTTGGTTTGTTGACACAGTTCTCTACTAGTTTTTATGTTCTATCTTTGAGGTAAATGTTGGCTTCAGAAACAGTTATTAACCTCTCAAAAGTAAAAATCTATTTACATGTGAAGGAACTGAATTAATTGAGGTGGTTTTTTGTCCTAGATTTTGCTTTTGGATAATATTCATAGTAGAACCTTTTTTTTTTTTATTAAAATATCTTTAAATTATTTCTTCTTTGGCAGTTGTAGGCTGTTCTGTAGCAGATACTGAGTATTCTAACCTCAGTAACTTGTAGTGAACTGAAGGCATTGTAGAAATCGATGTCTGAACTTTAGTTATTTAAAATGTCTTGATATTAAAAAATTGCTGAAACCGTTTTTAGAATGGCCTCCTAACTCCTGTGTGTAACTTAATTGAGGAAAGGATGGGAGTCCTCAGAAATTGGGATTGAGAGAGGCGAAAAGTCACACAGATGCGTCATGGTAGTATCGGAGCTGTTTAAAAAAAAAAAAAAAAAAGCAGCAGCCTGGTGTGTTAGAACTTAAAACTTTTGCTTCTTCACGTTTCCTGACCAGCCGTTGAGACAGACTTGAGTTCCCCCAGAGACTTGTACAGCTGCAGAATATTCAGTTTTCTCTGAAGTGGTGTTCAGTGCACACGAAATTACACGTCCTTCTGATGAGGAGAAGAAACATACTATTTTGCTCTCTTTGTTCTAGTTGAATCCCTCGAAGTTAGAAAAAAATGAAGATGTAAACACTAATTTGGCACATCTACTCAGCATTCTTTCGGAGCTGGTGGAGAAAATATTCATGGCTGCAGAGATACTGCCTCCGTAAGTTCCCAGTTCTCTGCTCAGATTTGTATTTGAAATTTCCTGTTTGTGTGAATTACGTTGCACCTGAGGAAGATGTTCTTGCTGTGCATCTTCTGCTGATCGGTTCCAAGAGTAGTGCCTCGGGATTGCTGTGCGCACGCAGAAGGAATGTGGAAGGCCAGAAAAATAACTCTGGAATTAAAAGGTTTTTTTGCAAAAGCCTTTGTCTGGCATGTGTGATTTCCTTTGAAGGAGAAACTGCTGGACCCGAGAGATCAGGAAAAGAAGAATCACAAAATTAATCAGTCTCTCATTTCCACAAAAAAGGAGAAGACAGTAGTGGCTAGCAAACAACTATATATATTTAAGATGATTACAAATTCTTTCCAGTCCTCCTCCTCTGAGATGGATTAGCAGAATATTAAAAATATTAAAATATGAGCAGATAGTAAAGAATGGTACCTTGCTATGGTTGTTTTTGTCTGCTAAGGAAAGACGGAAGTTATTTTTTTTAACTTTTTTTAATTTGCTACAATAACTTGTTGTCATAATTCAGATTTGAGCCATCTCGTAAGCAGTGGCTAGTACCAACAGTTTTCTTGCACTGTGTCCCCAGCTTCTAAAGCACACAAAATCCTCAATTTTGAGGTGGCAGAGTGGCACAGAAGTTTCTTTTCTCTTCTCTGGTGTCAGTGCTGGCAAGGTTGGCGTTCAAAGTTGCACTCATTTTGAAGTATATGGGGCAGTTCTCAACATTTTCTGAAGTGCGCCACGATTTTCCCGCTTTTTAGTGGGAGAGGACTGCTGCTGTGTTTGCAAGGTGTTTAAACACCTAGCCTAGACTAGTTAACCATCAAATTCTTTTTTAAAGGGAAATACTCCTTAAGAAACAGGAAACAGTTGTGAAACATTTAATGCAATATTTGCTGAATTGTGTGTAGAATTGTGTATGAATGGAGGCTTTTCCTTACCATTTATCAATATAGTTCTTAATATAAATTTGCAAATTTAGACATCGACTTAGTAAGTTTATTAACTTCTAAATTAACTCTGAGCTAAAGTTAATTTAAAGCTTATGTGTAAATTACAAATGTAGAATTGGCAATGGTTCTGTGTCGAGAAGGAGGTTGGTCTAGGTCCTGGCTGGCTGGCTCTGTGCAACCCTCTGAGCGTAACGGGATGAGTAATTGGCCATTATTTTTGCAGGACGTTGAGGTATATTTATGGATGCCTACAGAAGTCTGTCCAAAACAAGTGGCCAGCTAATACCACCATGAGAACCAGAGTTGTGAGGTAGGTTACTTGGCATTTTATTCTGAAAATAATCTTTTCGGCTCCTGCAAAGGACATACCTGGGTGTGCTGTTCTGTTCCCTTCAGAGGCAGCGCTGTGCGGTGCCCGCGCGGCTCACAGCAGCCTGAAGGTGTTTGCGGTGCTGAGCCTTGATCTCCCAGCTGAGCGTTACGAGCTCCTGATCGTGTTCCCAAAGCCCTGCCTGACAATGGCACTGCGGGTGTCGCGGTTTTAACATGTTGTTGGCTGGGGTTTTGTCGGGTTGTACAGACTAATCTAAACCAGCAGATTCTTCTTTTGTGCTGGGAATGGAGGAATTCTCTCAAAGGAGTAGCTCACTTTTTTGGTACCTGTAGAGAGAGAGCAGTGACCCCTGAGGATCGTGGTCCTGTCCTGTCGGGGGGCACTGGGGCTCAGTGTGTAGCCTGTGTTAATTGCTGGAGAAATCCCACGTGGTTAAGATCCATACCCTTTAAAATGCAGCCCCAGCGTGGTGGGAGTCTTTTAACACCTTCTCATAAAGACGACCGTGCTGCTGTTGGATCTCAGAGGGTACCGAATGCCCTGGGACATGTGCCCTTCTGCATCAGAGGAGGCTCCTGATGGGGCTGCTCGTTCTGGGCACCGCGAGCCAGCGCTCTGCTGGCTTCTGACAACACCCAATTCTTGCTGTCCCAGTCCTGGTTCATCTCTCTGCTCCAGCTGAGCCATGCTGGAACATTCCAAAGCTCCTCACAAGCAGCTGCAGGAGGTTGCCGAACCCGGCTGCTCCGAGCCAGCCACAGGAGCTCCCGCACACACTCATAAACCTCTTCCTCTAGCGCCGTCCATCGCCAGCGCAGCCTGGACAGAAACCTTTGGTAAAGGTGTGCTCTTGGTGCTGCTTTTCCAAACACCTCTGCTGCGGGTTTTAGGGGTATCAGAGCCACATCTTCCCCTTTTTTTGCGGTGTCCAGCACTCACACATGTTCTGCTGAGGTCAGTCAGTCTCTGGTGGAGGGAGTCTTCAGAGAATTTGTCTTGGACACCAGGAGCCTCCTGGTGTCCCAGGGCCCCGTGCAGGGACATTGCCCTCAAGTCAGGGCTGCTCTTGCTGTGGGAACCCCCTCGTGCCTTGAGGGGCAAACCTGCTGGAAGGCTCTGGAGCTCGGCAGCGAATACCACGTCTCTTTCTGTTCCTCACCATCTCTGGAGAGAACCACAGGGCTTTCCTCAGAGGACACAGCTCACACTTGGGGTTTTCCGTAGGTCTCCGCTGGATGCTGCAGATAACGGGTCCCTGCTCGTGTGACGTTAGCCTTCACAAGGGGACACCAGTGATTTCTTCCTAGAGTAGAGAGTTTCACAGCCTTCAGTGATGATGGTTGTCTTTTGTTGCACTAATTTCAGTCCAGGACTGATTAAACATTCAGAGTGGGGCAGACGGTTGTAGATGTCTGGGTATCTTCTGTGCCGTATCAGTCAGAAGGTGCTGCCGTTTCATGTAGATATTCTAAATTTCGGCAGTCTGACCAGTGTTGGAAGCACCAGATGTTCTGTACCAGCAAGGTGTGTGCGAGTTCATAGCTTGTTTCCCTTCAGCTTTGGGCACTTTAAAAGAGGGGTTTGTCTATGTGCCATGACTTCAAAATTAGTTACTTCCTCGTAGCTTTAAATTCACACCCTAGAAGATACTTTGGCTTCACATGTGGCCAAGAACTGTTGTCTTACCAGCCCATAATGCACAGGTTTTGGAGAAGTGATAAACATCTGTAACAGTGTATATCACGTCTTGGACATATGCAGGGTGCATTCACCTCACTTGTCATTTTCAAGTCATCAGGACTCAGCCGTCACTGCGGTAACCAACAGACGGCGCAGCGCAGGGTCCCTTTCCTCCTTCTACAAATGGTCAGGCTTTGGTATTGCTGTGGTCGAACACCAGGCTGCTGGTTGTGTCCAGGCAATCTGAACAAAATTAAGGGTGAGTCGATAGCTGAAGTTGGTCCGTGTGTCACGTCGTAGTATGGCAATTAGCCAGAATTGAGGATCACCCGAGGTGGACGTGTCTTACTTCTGCCAACAGCTAGGTTTCCTTACACTGCTGAAGGCTGTTCAGGGTGTCTGTGGAATGAATTCCTAGCTCCACAACCAAAGCAGAACACTTTTTTTTTCCCCCCCCCTAGCTTTCTGGGTGGCAGCAGTTACTTTGTGGAGGCAAGTGGCAGATCCTTTGTCACTCTCCACTGCAGCACTGCCACCAGGAGACCAACCAGCTTGGGCTGACCTCAGGCTGCGCTGCTGCCGGGAGAGAGCTTCCCTCTGCCCTGTGCCCCTGCTCGCCGTGCCCTGGCACGGGGTGGCTGCAGGAGGGAGGGATGCCTCGACCAGGCAGACGATCAGAAGCCTTTAGGAGGCTGGAGACCAGGGGCTCCTTGTTTTGGAACCCGTGTGGTCTGAGATGATCTTCAGTATCGCTTTGCAGTTGAGCTCCTCTGACCTGGTAATTGGGAAATCAATATGCCTGTTCTTCCAGCCTTTACTATAGTTGAAGTCATAGCTTGATATTCTTAATTTTTTAACGTGTTTACAGAAACCGGGCTCGTTGGTTAGTGTCTGTCTCAAAAAGGTACTGTGCTAACTGAAGTTTTTACTGACTGCACAATTCTATATTAATTCTCCAAAACACACTTTTCTTCCCTTTTCAGTGGCTTTGTTTTCCTTCGACTGATTTGCCCTGCTATCCTGAACCCAAGGATGTTTAATATCATCTCAGGTGACTATACTGAATTCATACTTTGTACAGTAGTAGGCATGAAATCACTGCGGTGTCGAATGTAGCAAAATACAAAGTTTGTTTGAACACAAAGTCGCGTTGCCCGTGGTCGCTTCACTGACTTCTCCTGCAGAAAGCACCCAGCGTCTGCTTTCCACTGTGACAGGTCAGAGTGCAGTGACCCCCAATATCATTTCAAAGTCCAGAAAAACATACATTATTTTATGTAAAGGTACAATTTTGAATTAAAGTCTAACAACATGGAATATATTCTAGCATTCTGAAAAATCTGTTTGATCTTCAGATGTCGCTTTGAATATGATGCAGTGCCAAGGCTAATGGCTGAAACTCAGTGAATGAGACTTAGAAAATTAAAAATCTGTCTGCAGAGCTTGGAATACATCGGTGTGCCTTGGAAACTGTGCTTGAATGACGTGTCTGAGCATTGTGCTTGGGTAGCTTCCAGCCACTGGAGGAGTCTGTACCTGGACGCCGTAAACACAGCCCATCTCAAACAGGAATCGAGAGAGGGGGCGAGCGTTTGGCCGAGGCGGGTTGTGCGGCTGGGAACGGGAGCCTGGGCTGACTTCGAGGTGTTTGCCGCGGTGAATCCTCTCCGGCGGTTGCCGTGGGGCTCCCCTGCTGTGAAGCTGTAGCTTTGAGGGCATGGATCGTCCCACAACACCTGCTATAAGCATCCAGAAAAATTTTGGGGGCGTTTTTTAACTTAACGTGGGAGGGAAAAAAAAGGAAAGGCATAAACTACTGAAACCTCTTTTACTGAAGTTAAAATATTCAGACGTATGAGTTGCTCAGCTTTGAAAGGTTTTGCATATGTAACCCTTCGTCTTTTTGCTCCTTTTTTTTGGTTTTTTGTGGCAAAGATCACCCCAAGTTAGAGGGCATTTAGTTTGCACTAGGCATTGCTCTTCCCTCTCTAGCATTTTCTTTTTACCAGTAAAATACTGGTTTGGAAAGAGGAGGAAGTCAGAATTCTGAGTCAGAAACACTTTTTCTTTATTCATAGACAGTTTTCAAGAAAATTGCATTTTCTATCACCTCTCTTTAAGCTACACTACATTAGAAATGCTGTGCTGAACAGCAAGTTCCTTTCACTCAGAAATCAGTTCCATACGTGCTTTGGAGAAAGAATTTGAGAACCGTGTCATGGTACACAATGATCCTTTTCCCCAGGATTTCATTATCTTCTGGTAATTTGCAAGTTGGGTACCTCTGTGTCTGCCTATGTGAAAACCTACTTACAAATCTGAGCAATCTCTTTTAAGCTTGTCTGTTAAAGTCCTGCTCACGAACATCCAGATGATGTTCTTGACTGCTGCCAAGGTAAACTTCCAGACTCTGTGCAGGGCTTTTAGAGCCATTAAAAAAAAAAAAAAGCTGTGAGGCATCTTCCTTTTGGAGCAAAGCTTCCAGCATAACTTCTTCCCATAACTGGGGAAAAAAATATTCTGAGTGTACAGGTACAGCTCAGTGTGAGCAGCAATCCCCATCACCTGGACAACTGATTGAAGAGAAAAAAAAAAATCATCTTTGTTTCAGAATTAAAACACAAAAGATGCAGGTAGACAACGAAGAACCTGTAGCACTCTTAAGAATTATAAAATTTAGAGCTTATATAATGAACATCTCAATTTTGGAACACTTCAAACCTGGCTTTCAACCAGGACATTTACTGTCACTGGAGGGAAAAATAATTTTGTGAGATAGTACTGGGTGATACATGTTGAAAAAGGCAATTTGAAGTGAGTAAGTGGTTAATGTGAAGTGTTAAGTGTAACGTTAAGAAGAGCAGGTGACCATAATTTTATGGAAATACAAGCCATGACTGCATGAAATGTTCACCCTGTGCTTCCTGATGGCAGTAAATCAAAGTGCAATTTGTATAACTTGAAATTTTACTTCATGAAGTGACATCTGCCACATGCACTTAGTTCTGTTATACTATTAAAAATACTTTATTCTCTGAAGAAATACGAGTTGGAAAAGAGCTTTACTTTCATGTGACTGCTGTTAGTTTTAAATGGAACAGTCATTAATGCTTTATTTGTGTTCTTGCCAGATTCTCCTTCCCCCACTGCTGCAAGAACACTGACGCTGGTCGCCAAGTCTGTGCAGAATTTAGCAAACCTGGTCGAATTTGGAGCCAAGGTGAATATAATTTTACACACACAGAACAGCCTAGAACTATGTTTTCAGTACATTTTGGTGGCTTCCGTGTGATACCTGCAAAAATCCATTGTCATTTCGTGCCCAGTGCCCAGCACGTGACCTTGTCACGGAGGAGGTCTCGTCGCTGCAGTTTGTTCTGTCCCGTCCTTCAGAGCTGAGCAGGGTGTGGGTTGGAGCTGGAGCAGCAGCCTAAAGTCTGGTCAGAGTGGGAAGGGGAGCCATAATCGTCTGAGAGAAAGCGATCTAGAAACTGGCATCAGTGGCTTGGTACCTGCCCTGAGGATTTTGGATCTGGCAGTAGGAGCACCAGCCCGTTAAAACAATTACTGAACAAATGCTGGTACCAGCAATAGCTATTGCAGAGAGTGATGCAACTGTGTGGAGGCTGTGAGAGCAGAGATAAATCCCAGAGGCTGCAGAGACAACAGCAGAGTGTGTGCAGTGTTCTTCCTTCCATTGGCAACAGCAGGGGCAGCAGCCCTGCTCCAGTATTTCCTGAGTATGAGGGGAGAAGTGGGGGAGTCAGAGCTCAGCAAAAGTGTCCACCATGGTACAACAGGGCACAACAGGCTCCTTCTGGAGTGTTGGCATCAAAAAAGACAACTCAGAATTGCTGGAGTGGGAATCTGTGATGTGAAGGAATCAGAAGAACACGTGCTCTGCCTGAAATGAGAGAGGCTGTTTCTGCTCTGCCATTCATTGTTTGATGCCAGAGGGGAGGCCTCGTTCACTGATAATGGTGTGAGACACCCCACACACACCTGTTGTACCTCTGTACAGTAATTAACTTTCAGACTGAGACTAACCAGGCCAAAATGCCCAGCTTGGTATCGATCTATCCAAGAATTGCCGGCGTCTGACTTAGCCCCCTCCCCACTTTCGCCATCTGTTCGCGCACTCCCTGGGACAGTGTTCTCCGTGGCAGAGCACCTCACAGCACCCCTGCTGTTGGTACTCACAGTCCCGCTGCCAGGCGCGATTCACGTTGTAAATCAAGGGCATGTTCTGCACTGCAGAGCCCCAGCTTTCCGTGAAGGTTCTACTGTGACACTAGGAGAATGCCAGCAACAACTGTCTCAGTTTCCAGGTTGCAACCTGGTTGAAAAATCAGTGTGTTGACTTAGGCATAGTGGCCGTGACCTCAGGGCTGGCATTGGGAAGTTTTTCTCTAGGAAGGCAAGCTTTAGTCAAAGAACAGGAAAGATGGTGCTGATTCCTGACCACACCTTTGAAAGTAGAGCACCTGTTCACTGCAGCCAGGTGCTGGGACACGTTCATCTTAATGCAAATACACGTCTTTAGGCTTGTTTAAGCAAACTTCTGAATCTGAGAAATATAAGAAAATGGAGGCTTCTGTAGCTTTTTGGGTGGCTGCACGCCAGTTACTAGAAATGCACGTGCAGAAGTAAAATCACTCCAGATGACATTCTTGTTTTGCAGAGTCATTTGTCTGACTGAACTGTGTTCACTTCAGGTATGGCAATTATCTTGGCATTGAATTTATTATAATGACTACTTTTAAAAATTACTAGGAGCCATATATGGAAGGGGTCAATCCATTCATCAAGAGCAACAAACATCGCATGATCATGTTCTTGGACGAGCTTGGGGTAAGTAGAATCGTGGAATCATAGAACATTTTCAGCTGGAAGAGAC